TCCTCTCGTCCTTTGGCTTGAGATGGCTGCCACCTATGGGTCAGATGATTGCATGGCACCATTAAACAATTGGTAATTAAATATAATATTTTTGTCCTAAAAAGTGTAAAATTTTGGAGAAAAAAATTTCACGAACATTAATTGTCACGCACGACGAGTCTGTGTGGAAAATGTCAGCTCGATTGGATCACGGGAAGTGGGTTAAAAAACGGCCGAAAGATTTGCACGGCCGTAAGCAAGCAAGCAAGCGCGCAAGTGAACTTAATATAAAGGATTTAAAAATGAACCTGACCAGACAATAAACGAAGTCGATAAAATAGGTACCAAGAGTGGTTGTTGTAGGGATAGACTCGCTCCCACAATAGGAATAAGGAATTTCCACACTGGCTCTGCAGGGCTGTAAACGGGAGAAGACCCTCCATTTCACTATGACTTTTTGACTTTGCTTAGAGCCCAGGGTGATTGCGGCAGACAGGCCTTGCCACTCGCAGCCGATAACGTTTATGATATCTTGAGTGTGTGGCGGGGGGTGGGGGCTCCCAGCGGGGCCGTCGGCGATGGGGACACCCGAGGCTGCCCCTTGTCCATGGTGCGCACGGTCGAGGTCGAACGATCGGCCCAGCCGCCAACCTTTGTCCTGCGCTGCCGCCACCACTACGCTCATGTGACTCGTGCCCTTGGTGGCGTGCGGGTACAAAGACCACGACGGCACTCCACGCGTGCATGTGCAATTGGGCCAGGTGGGGGGGGGGGGGCACAGCCACAGGGAGCCCAGCCAGTGCTTCATGGACTGCAGCACCGCAGTCCATAAAATGCTTACACGCGCGGTCGCGTTCTCCTTAGTTGGCACACTTCATCGTGTATATTGGGCCACTTTTTCTGCATTCTAGAGCTGTTCTGCGAACCTGCATCAGTAGGGCAATGTGGATGATTTGAGGTGGCGCTGCCTGGATCCGGTCGCTTATCGCCGTTCCGCGCTCGCTCTCCTGGTTCCGGCATAGCGATTCGGTCTCGGCTCGGTCCGTTCACCCGAAGCCAGCAAGCCCTTACCCTACCCACCCCCCCAGACCCAGGGGAGTCGCACGTGGGCTGGGATTAAGTGCCTCCTCCCATTGCCGCCCTCTATCCCCCCCCCACGTCCCCATGTGCACGCATGACAGCACATGGGCGTGCAGCTGATCACTCGGCAGAACCAGTCCGTCTGGCGCGGCGGCGTGTTGATCATGTCTGGCAGCCCAGAGACGTTGGCTTGCATAGGTGAACGTACCACAACGTGGAGGCAGGGCGAGCGCGAGATGGCACAGGAATGAAGGAGGAGGCAGTGCGCTGGCTCGGGTCACTCATCAGAGACGCAGGGCAACTGCGCGCACAGCACTGGATACAAGCGTTGAAAAATTTCACTCTAAATGCCGATTAAGACACCGGTGGCAGTGGAGGTCGCTGGGCGAACGGAAGGTCGGGCCTCACCGCGGGGAGCGGGAAGCGTCGGGGTGGCGGCACGACAGCCGGATGAGATAGAGTGGCGCCGGTAGGATCCCTCCGTGGCTAACGTGAACCCCCCCTGCCCTCACCCAGTGCGATGCTTGATCGCATCTGCCAGATTTGGTTCGCATTGTCGCAGCTGTCTGCGAGGGTACAATTTGGAGTAAGTGGATTAGCGAATGCATGGAGAAGGGAGAGGACCGGCAGGGCTCGGCACTGAGGGCGCTGCTCTCACGGCTCCACTGCTTCTTCTGCGGTTGCTGGCGCCCAGGTGAGTGGCCGGCGCACCTCTCTGTCCCAAATTACACTGCTGCCCGTGGTCATTGTTGTTGGAATGAATTTTTAATTTGGTTCAGTTTGCAATGTAATATTTCCCGCAGCATTACTGCAGCTTTTGTCGCGATGGTGACCCAGGGCACTCTTGCAAATGAGACTGTTCTGGACTCTTGAGGTGTCGCCCCGTTAAACTAAATAAATGAACTTTAACGTGAATAGGTGGCCCAGCGGTCAAGCGGGCGACTCGCAGTCGCGAGGTTACGAGTTCAAATCCTGTTTAGGGGTTGACTCAGCCCATCATCCCTCCCTCTGGGGTCGATAAAATGAGGACTACTTTGTGGTGGAGTCAACTGCAAGTGGTTGTCCTATGGATAGACTTGCCCCTGTCATGGTAATGAGGAATTTCCTCCTGGCCCAGAGCTGTGAACAGGAGGTGAGTACCGCCCCATTGTTCATTTTAGCACAAAACACTTTGACTTTTCACCTTTGTTTTCACTTTAACTTGGCTGTGCGTGTTGGCCAGGAGTCCTCATGCCAAACAGATTCGCTCTCCACGGCCACCCGAGCCGCGTCATTGTTCGCACGGCCCCATCACTCGTTACTGCGTGGCGCCATATCCCCGTGGCCGTGTAAACCTAGCCGGCCCCACCGCCATGCATTCCACCTGATGATTTTGTAAATCTCTCATTCCATGAGCTGCCCGGTCTCACTCACAAAAAGATGTCACATTGCAGCGGGGTTGTGCTTCATTTTACATCAAGGAATTGATCGATCGGTTGACCGGTGCTGCCGGTTAAGGCGGCAGGGATGAGTGACATTTGTAGCGGAGGGGTAGTTGAGCAGTGTGTGAAGTGGGGTGGTTGTTGTTGCTGCGCTGGAATGGTTGGTGGTTGTGCGGTGGTTGTTGCGGTTGGTGTCACGGTACGGTGGTACTGTGTCCCTGCCACTTTATCTGCATGTGTTTTGTGTTCACCTTATCGGTGTTTAGCTGATAATAACAGATGCTTACAGTGCACACAGTGCACACACATGCTGGTGGTGCTGTAACCTCTATCTGGAAGGAACTCGTGTCCCTATTAAACCGTAAACGATAAATATTGCCAAATGAACAACCAAGCGTGTAAATTCACGCTTCGTAAAAGTGTGTTGTCAGGAACTATTATTGATACGGTCCTCACTATTTCTTGTTATTTATATTTTTGCAGAAGGCAGCGTACCCTACGTTCTAAAGTCAGACACACCACAATTGCCAAGCGAACGGTTTTCCCCCCCTTGATCGTTTGTTCCTTGGTCGTCGCAGCTCTCCGCGCCGCGGTGACCGATGCAGAATGTACGCGCGACGGAGCGCTTCATGTGCCAATACCTGTGCTTGGGTTTTGAGTGGTGCTGGTATCTTATTAATCACTGCGTTCGTAGCAGATGCTGTCGACGCAGCCCTCCTGCTATAAGGAAACGTGTGCAGAGCTATTCGAGGCTCTGTGGCTTTGCGACACGTCGGAATGCCGCGTAGGTTTTGTCCACAACTGTATTATTACTTTTTTTCTTCAACGAAACAATGAACATCACTCAGCAGCATGCTTCTGGAAGTGGCATTTGTTTTTCGTGAAGGAAATTCCTGTGCAACAGACCTGAGCCTGCATTAAAATAGTTGCTCTGTAGGGTTCAGGTTCGACTTGCATGGATGTATTTACTTAACCCTGTTAACTAACCCGGAGTAACACGTGGCCACTGCGACTGGCTTGGCCCTGCCGCGCACCGCAGCGACTCGTGCATCGAGCTGAAACTGGAGCCCCTGCTGTTGTGAAAGCAGCAGTGGGGGAGCACATAGTTCCTACATCGCTACACTTGGACAGAGTTCAGAGTGAAGCAGCAGTTGAGGCGATTGATATTCAGCACTCACCGATTCACTCAAGACACTCGCTCACCAGTGATCAGTTGTCCCCTTGTGACTTTTCTATCGCTACTACCGTGTTTACCGTTCCTGTGAACTTCACTCATTGATTCCTCCAGGCATATTGAGCACTTGGTCTACTAGACTGACTGGTTTGTCTCATCCATGCTGTGTTCAACTACTACACTGCTGGTCACAACAACACACTCACCCACACACTCGCTCACTAACCTTTACAATCACTCACTAACCCACACAACAACTCCCATTCGCCACTAAGTGGCGGTGACGTCACCACGGCGCTTGTGCCAGGCTATGTGCAAGTTGAGGCCACGTGAAGTGTGGAACACCTGCTGGCAGGAGGTCATGGGGCAGACCCAGGTGCCACGGGTCGACTGACTGAGATGACTGGGCGATGCACCACCTGTCCCCTACTGTGCCAACTTGCTGTGCTTTAGCCACCCGGCACTCCGCTCGTTCAATCTTAATTTGGAGCTTTCGTGACTGCAGGAATTACTCTTTGGTTCTTTTGGTAAAGTCACGTATAAAGATAAAATAATAAATTAAATAATAGAATACGATGTTTCGATTGCAACTCAAGCAATCATCATCAGGTATAAATGAAATAGCAACAAAAATCTAACTATCATGGTGATATATGTCTGCTTATATGTCTGTCTATAGTTTTCTGGTTAGATTTTTGTTGCTATTTCATTTATACCTGATGATTGCTTGTGTTGCAATCGAAACGTCGTATGCTATTATTTAATTTATTATTTTATCTTTATACGTGACTTTACCGAAAGAACCAAAGAGTAACTCCGCTCGTTGTTGTGAGCGTCGCTCCTCTGCCGTCCGTTGTTATTTAAGGGCGACTGCCTCAACTGCCCAGTAGCGTCTTTCACGAGCCTCCTCCACAGAGGCCGATCTTGACACCGCTGGTACCAGTTATCGGCAAGTCCACTCAGCTTCACATCCTCTTGTACCACATCACTCCATCTCTTCTCTAGCCCGTGCCGTGCCCGTTTAGCCCCCTCTATCCTGCCGAACAAAAGCGTGCGGGCTACATGAAGGGGACCACCAGGGCATCCTTCCAATCCTGCGGAACCGTCCAGTGGTCGAGACTGTGCACAGACTTTCCTACATGACATCATAATAACAAACGCCACCCTCCCTCAGCGTTTCACTTAGGAGATCATCTGGCGGCCATTTTTCTCAACCTTTCTACCCTGCGCGTCGCATGCGCCGCGTCACACGGGGCCATTGAAACGCGTGTCAACGTCCGTGCGGCTCGTGCGCGCCAACCTTCTTCCTCACGCTCACCGCGTCTCTCGTGCGTTTCTCCGCGCAGAGGCCGCCGGCAGCCAGGAAGGCATCTTCTCCCCGTCACTCACGTCCCTGCAGTCCCAGGCGACGGCCGCCGGGGGGGCGGCGTCGGGAGGCCCCGCGGGCCACGCGACCTCTCAGGCCGCGCAGCGAGCGGCCGGGGCGGCGGCCTCGACCCCCCAAGCGTCCCCCGCGGCGCAGCGCGGCGGCAAGGCGCTGCGCAAATGGCTCAAGAGCCCCGTGCGACGCCTCAGCAGCAGCAAAGCGGAAGGGGGTGGCCGCAAGGGGGCCGCAGGCAAAGCGGCCAAGAAAGGGGGCCGCAAGGGAGAGGAACCCGCAGGCCTGGAGAATGGAGGTGCCATGCTCGACGAGGGACCTGGGAGGTGAGGCCTGCACCGAGGAGAATGATGAAAACCGATTTGCATAAAGAAAAGTAACAGTTTGCTAAGCACAGGTACTGAGGCCCATATTTCCAAGTGACCAACAACAAACAGCACCGTCAAAGTTGTGATAGATATGGAGTTAACATGCTTCTGAAATTGAGCGAGGTTTTTAAATGAGCTTAGGGAAAGGAGATGTGGAGCAGTGCGAGGGAAGATCCAGAAAGAGAAGTGTCGTGATTTGCAGTGTGGTGGATGAGAAGAAGCAGTCAGTGTGGTCGACCAAGTCTTCAACATGGGTGGAGGAATCAATGAGTGAAGTTTAAGGGAACTGTAACCGTGGTCGTAGCGATATAAGAGCCATCAGGGGGGGACTAACCACCGGTGAACGAGTGACTGTAGTGAATCGGCGAGTGCTGGATCATAAATTGCCCTGACTCTAAACTCAATCTGGTGAAGTGAGGGAGGAACTGGGTGCTCCAACACGGATATGACAGCAGCGGGCTCCAGCTTCGGCTTGAGGTGTGCTTGTCATTCGCGTAGCACTGGTGTTGTCGCACGCTGCTTGTGCTGATGTGGAACTGCCGGCGATTACGGTCGCCTGCTGCGTGTGCTACAGGCCGGGAAGAAAGCCGCTGCTGGAGCCTCGAAGGGTGACTCCATGGCAATGAGCACGTGTGTGGAGGAGGAGGCCGAGGACGGAGCCGAGAGTCTGCCTCTGCCCCCACCCATGGCCATTCAGCAGCACAACCTCCTGCAGGAGGTAGGCTGCTAGCAGTACACTCGGTCACTCACTCCTCACTAACTCACTCATCCGTCCGTCTACCGGCTCGGTTACTCGGTTACTCCCTCACTGAGCCACTCACTTTCTCAGTCACCCTCTCGCTTGCTCGCTCATCCACGCGCTCACTCTTTCTCTCACCGACTCGCTCACTCGCACATTGCACCCGCTCACTAGCGTGTCCACACGCCCACCCACCCAACCACCCGGCCACACTCCCACCCACCTTGCATGAATATCTGCACGCACACGAGCACAGGCGTACCACAATCCCGCTCGCACACATCCTGCTTCTGCTGACAGCGCACACGCCTGCACATGTACGCACACCGACACACGCACAAAGAGCGCAGCGCGCTCGTGACCTTGTGCGAGCGCATACATACACACGTTCATGCCTGCACGTGTACATACGTACGCCGACGCGTACGCAGGCGCGCAGGCCGCCCGGTGACGCACGCACGCACGGGCCCGCGTCCCCGCACGCTCGCCCAGCTCCTCTCCGTTTGCGTCATCGTGCCGGCTGCATGGCGGGGTGCGCCCCGCGCGCAGCCGCTCTCATCCTGCCGCTGTTGAGGTGTTTTTCTAACCGGCGGCCTTCTTTCTGTTTTCTCTCAGAGACCCTAACCCATTCCACCGCCCCGAGCCCCCCGCCTCCTCGCTCACTCTCTTGCTGTCTCTCTTGCGATTGAACCGTGCTGCCCTGGCCTTGTGTGTTGTGTGCATGGACATTGGCTGCGTGTGTGTATGTGCACGTCTTACTGTACTGTGCATGCATTGGTGTGAAAATATAAGGAAGTGTAGCCGTACACCTGTTTACATTGGTATGAGTGTAGTCATGATTGTGGGTATGAGTGTAAATATGAGTTTAATAACAAGTGTGGCTTAAAGTGTAGATACGATTGTAGTCACGAGTGTCGTCACGAGCGCGGTGACGAGCGTGGTGACGAGCGCGGTGACGAGCGCGATGACGAGTGTCGTGACGAGCGCGGTGACGAGCGTCGTGACGAGCGTGGTGACGAGCGCGGTGACGAGCGTCGTGACGAGCGCGGTGACGAGCGCGGTGACGAGCGCGGTGACGAGCGCCGTGACGAGCGCCGTGACGAGCGCGGTGACGAGCGCGGTGACGAGCGCGGTGACGAGCGCGGTGACGAGCGCGGTGACGAGCGCCGTGACGAGCGCGGTGACGAGCGCGGTGACGAGCGCGGTGACGAGCGCGGTGACGAGCGCGGTGACGAGCGCGGTGACGAGCGCGGTGACGAGCGCGGTGACGAGCGTCGTGACGAGCGCGGTGACGAGCGCGGTGACGAGCGCGGTGACGAGCGCGGTGACGAGCGCGGTGACGAGCGCGGTGACGAGCGCGGTGACGAGCGCGGTGACGAGCGTCGTCACGAGCGTGGTGACGAGCACGGTGACGAGCGTCGTGACGAGCGCGGTGACGAGCGCGGTGACGAGCGCGGTGACGAGCGCGGTGACGAGCGCTGTGACGAGCATAGAGATGAGCGTTTTGAGTTTTCGATGCACGGACCTCAGTCCCTAGTCACATCACCAGCTCGCACCAAAAGAGGATGTGAAGACTGTGATGATGAGGAATTTACTGCTGTCTTGTGCATTCTCAGGGTTTTGAGTTCCACGCATATTTATCATTCCATTCTACGTGTTTATTTTTTTATTTAAAGGACATTTTTGACTAAAATAAAAAAAAATCTCAGTGCATCGGCGACGATGGCCGCTCGGCTCGTTTCTGCTCGTCACAGCGTCCAGTCCAGAACGTGAAGGGCCAGTTTCAGCAGAAGCCTCTCAACCCCAGTGATAAATCCCCTCGAGCTGAAGGCACGAGCCAGGCCAGGGCTAGCGGTGTCCGATCCTGACAGTCTGCTTCTCAAGGCAGAAAGTATTTATTATCCTGTTCGGGAGGCTACACCTTCACTTGCAGTACTTTCAGATTTTAAAGCGAGTGTGTTTGCTTGTACAAGTCGTGTGCATGAGTGGATGGTGTGTACGTGCAGTGTATGGGAGTGTGCGTGAGTATACGTGTTGTGCATGAGTGGATGGTGTGTGTACGTGCAGTGTATGGGAGTGTGCGTGAGTATACGTGTTGTGCATGAGTGGATGGTGTGTACGTGCAGTGTATGGGAGTGTGCGTGAGTATACGTGTTGTGCATGAGTGGATGGTGTGTGTACGTGCAGTGTATGGGAGTGTGCGTGAGTATACGTGTTGTGCATGAGTGGATGGTGTGTACGTGCAGTGTATGGGAGTGTGCGTGAGTATACGTGTTGTACATGAGTGGATGGTGTGTGTACGTGCAGTGTATGGGAGTGTGCGTGAGTATACGTGTTGTGCATGAGTGGATGGTGTGTGTACGTGCAGTGTATGGGAGTGTGCGTGAGTATACGTGTTGTGCATGAGTGGATGGTGTGTGTACGTGCAGTGTATGGGAGTGTGCGTGAGTATACGTGTTGTGCATGAGTGGATGGTGTGTGTACGTGCAGTGTATGGGAGTGTGCGTGAGTATACGTGTTGTGCATGAGTGGATGGTGTGTGTACGTGCAGTGTATGGGAGTGTGCGTGAGTATACGTGTTGTGCATGAGTGGATGGTGCGTGTACGTGCAGTGTATGGGAGTGTGCGTGAGTATACGTGTTGTGCATGAGTGGATGGTGTGTGTACGTGCAGTGTATGGGAGTGTGCGTGAGTATACGTGTTGTGCATGAGTGGATGGTGTGTGTACGTGCAGTGTATGGGAGTGTGCGTGAGTATACGTGTTGTGCATGAGTGGATGGTGTGTGTACGTGCAGTGTATGGGAGTGTGCGTGAGTATACGTGTTGTGCATGAGTGGATGGTGTGTGTACGTGCAGTGTATGGGAGTGTGCGTGAGTATACGTGTTGTGCATGAGTGGATGGTGTGTGTACGTGCAGTGTATGGGAGTGTGCGTGAGTATACGTGTTGTGCATGAGTGGATGGTGTGTGTACGTGCAGTGTATGGGAGTGTGCGTGAGTATACGTGTTGTGCATGAGTGGATGGTGTGTGTACGTGCAGTGTATGGGAGTGTGCGTGAGTATACGTGTTGTGCATGAGTGGATGGTGTGTGTACGTGCAGTGTATGGGAGTGTGCGTGAGTATACGTGTTGTGCATGAGTGGATGGTGTGTGTACGTGCAGTGTATGGGAGTGTGCGTGAGTATACGTGTTGTGCATGAGTGGATGGTGTGTGTACGTGCAGTGTATGGGAGTGTGCGTGAGTATACGTGTTGTGCATGAGTGGATGGTGTGTGTACGTGCAGTGTATGGGAGTGTGCGTGAGTATACGTGTTGTGCATGAGTGGATGGTGTGTGTACGTGCAGTGTATGGGAGTGTGCGTGAGTATACGTGTTGTGCATGAGTGGATGGTGTGTGTACGTGCAGTGTATGGGAGTGTGCGTGAGTATACGTGTTGTGCATGAGTGGATGGGTGTGTACGTGCAGTGTATGGGAGTGTGCGTGAGTATACGTGTTGTGCATGAGTGGATGGTGTGTACGTGCAGTGTATGGGAGTGTGCGTGAGTATACGTGTTGTGCATGAGTGGATGGTGTGTGTACGTGCAGTGTATGGGAGTGTGCGTGAGTATACGTGTTGTGCATGAGTGGATGGTGTGTGTACGTGCAGTGTATGGGAGTGTGCGTGAGTATACGTGTTGTGCATGAGTGGATGGTGTGTGTACGTGCAGTGTATGGGAGTGTGCGTGAGTATACGTGTTGTGCATGAGTGAGGTAGCGCTACGCTACGAACCCGGCGACCTGAGTTCGATTCCCGTTCACGGCCAAAACCAGTGACGATTATCTGAACTGGTGCTGGGCCTTCCCTAGGTCGACTCGGCCTCAAAATGGTACAATATGCAAACATCGCCACTGGGGAAACAAAAGCGGTTGGGCATGGTGCTGGCCACCGTGCCGACCTTCATTGGTGCTAACAGCATTTGCCCCACAAGTCTGTTCAGGCTATATGGGGGATCTCTATCTTTATGCATGAGTGTGGACTGCCTTTAAGTGTGTATGTTTATGTGTGTGCATCCTGTATGAGTGTGCTTAGTATACAGTGGGTTGCGTGAGTATGCATCTGTGTGGCGTGCATGAGTGTGTTTATTTATGTGTGTGAGTGTGAATGTCAATCTGGTCATAGGTCTGCCCTACACCCCCCGCATGGCGCTGTTCTTCTCATTTCTGCTGCCACCGCACACCCCACCGTGCCCCACCCCGCATGCCCTCTCCTGCCCTCATCCCCCCGAGCCCCCGCTCCCCACCCCCCTCCGCTGCCTCTGCTGGGCTGCGTGCGATCTAGCTCCGGCCCAGCCGTCCGGTGAGCCCCACTGCCCAGCACCGCTGTCGCTGGGTCTCATCCCAACGCACACGCACGCACTCGCTCGCTCAACTCCCATGACACTGGCTCACTCAACAACTACTCGCTCACTCGCTCGCTCGTTCAACAACCACTCATTCGCTCGCTTACTCACGGACGCACACAACACATGCGCAGCGATACAGCCGTAAACACAGAGCTGCGTGGTATTTGTGCACGCCGGCGCGTCGACAAATGAATGCTGACTACTGCGCACACGCTAATGCACACGCTTGTACACGTGCTAGCACACTCGCCCGCCACGCGCTCGCACCCACACAGACGTGCGCCCCTCTGCTGCGCCGCGTGTGTGTGGCGGCACGGCCTTCACAGAGGGACGTGTGTTTGGTTTGAATGCCTTTCCCTCTCCCTGGCGAGGAAGCCGCGAGCGATGCTCCCACGAGTTCACCCCCTCCTTGTCCCTGCTGCCGTTTCCTCTGATCGTTGAGCTCTTCTTGCAGTGACGATTCTGATGGGCGAGTGATCCCCTTCCTGTGCACACCTCTGCCTCCACCCCCGCTCCCACCTTTGCCCTCAACTCGACCCCACCTGATGGCCCTTACCTGCGCTGCCCGTTTCCCTCCTCCTGCCTGCTCTTGCAGCCCGCTTACCTGTCTGTCCCTGCCTCCTGTGGGGAGGCCCGAACCCCGGCCGGCGATCCCTCCCGCTCAGTAAGTGTCACAGCTGCCCGTCGCGATCGTAATCACTCGCGGGGTGCGGTGGGAATACGTGGCTGGTCTGAGTCTCCGCTCTCCCGTCTCGCTGAAGGCAGCACAGAGAAGAGGAATCGGCTCTGTCTCCATGTCAGGCTTTTTGTCTCTAATTGTTATTTTATATACAGTTGATGAGCGCAGGCCCAAACAGTGAACCATCCAGCAACAAGCAACACGATTGAAGTTGTAATAGACACAGAGGTAACACGTGTCTTTGAAGCAAGCAAACTGATTATAGGAGCATGGGATAAGAGACGATGGGAGGGAACTCTAAAGTGGAGCAGTGCGAAGGACGAAGCAGAGAGGGTAGCGTTGTGACCAGCGGTGTGGTGGTTGAACACAGCATGGATGAGATGGAACAGTAGGCATGTACACTCGCTCACTCTGTCCCTGTATAGACATATATGTGCGTGTAACAGGCATGTGATGATGCATCGATTAACCGATTGCAATACTCTTTAGGTTCATGATTCATGTATAAAATCCTTCGTATTAGTCATGCATGCTGTAATTTGGCCATGTGACTGCTGCGGCCACTTGAGATTCTACATTCACCGCAATTCCTGGGTTGAGTTGCGACCCAAAACTCTTTCATCACCTCATGAGTGGGGGGGGGGGGCGTTTTACGTTTCGTGGTGTCGTGGGTAATGGGAGGGGGGACCAGGTGTGGCCAGAAATTAGTTTTCGTTCTCAAGTGCGCATGGGATCTGTAACTGACATTAGCTTTCCTACAAGTAAACACTTTCAATTTCAGACACCTGTTCAGGTGCGCTGTCAGCAGCAGCTGCTGAACTGATGTAACAATGGTGGCCGGGCGTGGTTCCGCACTCTCCCATGCGCCACGCTGGTCGCTAAGCACCGCCGCCACCACTTGCCGTGGCTCCAGCTGTTCACCGGACTGACGGGAGGATCCTCGCGTGCGTGCGTGCGTGTGTGCGTGCGTGCGTGTGTGCGTGTGTGCGTGTGTGTGTGCGTGTGTGCGTGCGTGTTCACAGGGTGCGGAGGAGCGGCCAAGTTCACTGGGACCGAAGATGGCGGGGGGGGCGCCCCCCTCACCGGGTGCCGCCTCCCCGTCCTCGCCCGCGCCTGTGTGCCCCAGCGGTCGGGTGCTAGAGCAGCGCCGGTACAGTCACAATAATAATAACACAAATCTTGAGTTTTGTTTTGCGTCGTCGTCGTCATCGTCCATGCAATCTGAATCTTACGCAATTGGCCAAGCTCCGCAATTTTGAGCCAATAAATGATTGTTTATACTTGTGGGAGCAAATCCACACATGCGAGAGGGAAACGCTCAATCCCATACAGAAAGGATAGATTATATCAGTACTCAAGTTGCTGGGCCGCCTTCTCCTGGCAAGCCAGGGTACGGCTACTCCTCGACGCCCACAGGAAGGGAGTTGGCAACATTTGTGCGATCCAGCCGCTTCTCACTCCCCCCCAACACGCACCCACTGGTAGACATCACCTACCGGGGTGCGGCCTGCACATGGCCTCACTTTGTGTTCACTTGCGCAGTTTTGTGTGCGTGCCTATGTGTTTGTGGCGAGCCGTAGTGCAGCAATTAGCATGCTACACAACGAACCCACTCAAGGCCAAAGCTAGTGACAGTTTTCTGAAACAGTCCTGGGTTCCCTTATGTCATCTCAGCCTCAACTGAGTACCTAGTGTGATGTGAAAACATCGCCACTGGGGAGACAAAAGCGGCTAGGTGTGGGGTGCTGGCTATCTATTCCCTCATAGCACTTGCCCCAACGCTGTCAAAGCTCTGTGGGGGATTTCCTATCTTTCCTCTTCACACGCGTTCCTCTGTGTGTGTGTGTGTTCACCTGCGTGCCTGTGTGTGTGTAGGTTGGTGCTGAAGGAGCTGGTGGACACGGAGGCAGACTACGTGCGCGACCTCGGCCTCGTGGTGGAGGTGAGCCACCCGATCACTGCCACCTCCACCCCCCCCCCCTACCACTTGACTCCCTCTCTCCCCACTCCCTCTCCTACAGCCCGCTGTATGTAAGTGCGTGCGTGCGTGCGTGCATCTTGGCAGGGATACATGGCGCACATGAAGGAGGAGGGCGTGCCAGATGACATGAAGGGAAAGGACCGCATCGTGTTTGGCAACATCCTGCAGATCTACGACTGGCACCGCGAGTAAGGCCGCCCACCACCTTGACCCCACCGTGGGGCCACCACCACCACCTTGACCCCACCGTGGGGCCACCACCTTAACCCCACCTTGGGGCCACCACCTTGACCCCACCTTGGGGCCACCACAACCACCTTGACCCCACCTTGGGGCCACCACCACCACCTTGACCCCACCGTGGGGCCACCACCACCACGTTGACCCCACCGTGGGGCCACCACCACCACGTTGACCCCACCGTGGGGCTACCACCACCACCTTGACCCCACCGTGGGGCCACCACCTTAACCCCACCTTGGGGCCACCACCTTGACCCCACCTTGGGGCCACCACCACCACCTTGACCCCACCTTGGAGCCACCACCACCACCTTGACCCCACCGTGGGGCCACCACCACCACGTTGACCCCACCGTGGGGCCACTACCACCACGTTGACCCCACCGTGGGGCCACCACCACCACGTTGACCCCACCGTGGGGCCACCACCACCACGTTGACCCCACCGTGGGGCCACCGCGTCGGCTCCGTGCAAAGTGAGGAATGCCAATGAGGCTGCCGTGCGCTCACTCACGAATCCCTCTCTCTGTATGCTTTGTGCTTCCGTATTCCCACCCTAGATTTTTCTTGGCGGAGCTACAGAGGAGCCTGGAGCAGCCAGAGAGACTGGCCTCCCTCTTCATTAAGCACGTGAGTCCTCACGCGCGCTCTGTATCTCTCAATATCCATTTCGTTTGTTCGTCGTTTCCATCTCCACCTGGCACTGCTTCGTTTTGTTCACTTTGACGCGTGGTACGTGTGTGGTACGTGTGTGTGTGTGCGTGCGTGTCTGCGTGCATGTCTGCGTGCATGTGTATGCGTGCATGTGTGTGCATGCGTGTGTGCGTGCATGTGTGTGCGTGTGCTGCAGGAGCGGAGGCTGCACATGTACATCGTGTACTGCCAGAACAAGCCCAAGTCGGAGCACATCGTCTCCGAGTACATAGACACCTACTTCGAGGTGAGGATATCATCATCATTTTATTATTATGTGATTTTACCCAGCAAAGCCTGAGACTCAATACTATTGTTCAGGAGGGTCCTGACAAGTTTTGTGGTAATGTTTGGGGGGAAAATGAAAAATGATCTGCAATTTTAAATTGAAGGTAATTTATCAGCATTGGGATGTTTTGGCAAATACCAGTTACATTGTGTGGTTTCTTTAGTTCTGGGAGGAAACCCACGCAGAACAGGGGGAGAACATACAAACTCCACACGGACAGGTGCCCAAGTCGGGAATCACACCCAGGCCCTTCTTGCTGAGAGGCACCAGTGCTACCACTGCACCACCTTGCCACCCCAGAGGATAATCCCACATGTCTAACCCCACAGATCAGCTGATTCTCCTGCTGAGCTGGTGTGCGTGCGTTTGTTCGCAGGACCTCAAGCAGCGCATGGGCCACCGGCTGCAGCTCACCGACCTGCTCATCAAGCCCGTGCAGCGCATCATGAAGTACCAACTGCTTCTCAAGGTGTAGCAGCTAGCGAGACGCTGCCGACTTCAATCACACACAAAAAAACAATCGGCCGTGGCGTGTGTAGTCTCCTCCAGAATCTCACGCGATGTCGCTTCCCTGTGTGCAGGACTTCCTCAAGTACACACGTCGGGCGGAGCTGGACACTGTTGAACTGGAGGTGAGAGCCACTCCTGGGCCCGCCCAGCGGTAGCATAATAGTAGGTTTTTACCCTTTTAACTGGTACAAAACTGACACCTTTATTCAAGGCATCATGTTTGCAATGACCATAACACAAGTAGTCAAAAAAAGCAAACAAAAAGAAGCAACTCTGATAATGATAATAATATGCACTGTCAAGGACAGTGCATATTATTATCATTATCAAGGACAGTGCATATTATTATCATTATCAGAGTTGCTTCTTTTTGTTTGCTTTTTTTGACTACTTGTGTTGTGGTCATTGCAAACATGATGCCTTGAATAAAGGTGTCAGTTTTGTACCAGTTAAAAGGGTAAAAACCTACTATTATATTTTGCCACTGGTAAAAGAGATCTCATACAGCGGTAGCATGTTTGATGCTTGTTGCAGTGGTCTGTGATTTGAATCCGGCGAGCCACCCTGGTTAATATTGTGGGGCTATTTACCATAAGATACGCGCCGTCTGCTCTATGGTGGACGTTAAAGATCCTGCAATGTCCTTCTAAGAGACACCGCCATTGTGTGCTGGCGTCACTTTCCAAATTTTCCGAATTCTAAAAGTTATCTGCAAAACTACGCAATTGGGATTACACTACTGGTAGACCAATGCCCACTTGCAGGTCAGGTGCTGAAATTATTTCGTGCTCCACAGGGGCAGCTAGCTCTGGGGGGTGCCCTTTTTAACATGTTGAGGCGAGGTGTGATGTTAGTCGCTTGGCAGGTGTAAAGCGCTGCGGTCCGCCGCGGCGCGAAGGAGGAGGGCGGCTCCATCAAACGCAGCTCGATCCCAGTAGCGGTGCCCGGCTCGTGTCTATTTCTGGAGAGTGGTGCAATGTGCCCCGTCTCACCGTTGGCGCCATCCCCTTTCCTTGCAGAGAGCGGTGGAGGTAATGTGCGTGGTGCCCAAGCGATGCAACGACATGATGACCGTGGGGCGGCTGCAGGGATTCGAGGTGAGCGTGCGTCGCCCCACGTCGTCGCCTGCGCTCTCCGTTGATCTTCGCGGACGAACGCTTTCTCCCAAACCCAGACCCCCGCGCTGTCGCATGTAACACGTGAAGCGAGCATGGGGCTTACATTTCATCTTTTTTATTTTCTACAATATTTCACCTGGAAAATCCCTTGAGCCGGAACATCTCGTTTGGAACGTCTTGTTTGCAATTGTAACCAGGGTATTGCGTTACATTCTAAATATATTAATTATGCAGTTTGCATTAATACAATGAATACCACACCCAGTCAAACACACACATAAATACAGAAGTAAGTGGTACACACGACCGTTCATGTAAATTGGCTGGGACTGGCGACACGAGTGGGTTGTTCTGGGAGATAGTTCCATGCTGAAGCAGCTCTGTGTCCTGTGTGGGTTTGATCCCTCGGGAGGGTTAAACTGTTGTGCCTGCCGGATCGTAGAGTTAGGAGGGAGGCAAAAGCCCTGCGATACTCGGGGTGTCACAGAGGGTGTTCAGGATGTTCGTCACCTCCGACACCCACTTCCTCTCGGCAGGGGAAGCTGACGGCCCAGGGCCGCCTGGTGCTGCAGGACACGCTGCTCGTGAGCCAGACAGATGCCGGGCTGCTCGCGCGGAGCAAGGAGCGCCGCCTCTTCCTCTTTGAGCAAATCCTCATCTTCAGCGAGCCACTGGACCGCAAGCGCGGCTTCTCCCTGCCAGGGTTCCTCTTCAAGCACAGCATCAAGGCAGGCACCGTGGTCGCGTCACCCTCACCACCCACACACGCGCACGCACGCCCACCGTACGTACCGCACGTACTGCACGTACTGCACGTACATGCTGAGCGTACACACTCGCCGCAAATCTCTTCACTGCACATTCTACACTTACCCACTGCCTACATCTTCACTTCGCACATGCTCCACATGCGCACTCACCACACTCCTCAAACACACCCACGGCAAATATCCACACCACACACACGTACAAAGATCCCCCTATAGCCACTAACAGGTTATTGGTGTAATGCTGTTTGCGAGAACCTATGAAGGGCAACATGGCACATGAGTGGGTGGTGTGGTTAGCACGACGCCACGCCAGGCTACCTTTGTGTTCCCATTACTAGTGTTTACACACCGCACCAGGTATTCATTTAAGGCTGAGTTGATCTAGAAGAGGCCCAGGACCGGTTTAGATATTCGACACCGAGCAGAAATCGAGCTAGGAGTTTGGGGCGCAGTGGTAGCACACTGCACCACAACCCCAACAACTCGAGTTCATCACTGCTTCCCACACACACGCTGGGTGCGCCTGTACTGCGTACGTCATGCTCCGTTATTGGATTAGTGACGTCTGCTTTCATCTCAGCGTCAGAGCCGGCCGCACCACGTGCACTGCGCATCACCGAGCTTCAGCGGAGATTTGGTGCGGTTCACGTTACTTGTGCTGCATAATGTGGTTGCTTTACACATTTAAATTCAATTATGCCACTTAGCAATAATCCTGCAGATGAGGGGTGTTCGTCATCTCGTGCAGAGATGTGTGCACACTGGTTGTCTTATTTTACCGTGTGTTTCGGGGCTGAGTGGTGTAAATGGAAACACTTGGGTTGTCAAACTGAGCACGACCCTACACTACTCCTAAACAATCAATCCTTTCGACACCTGCGACGCTTGATGCAGCACGCCAAGTGCTGGAAGTGCCCCCCCCCCCGTAGTCGCGCCGATATGAACGTAACTGCAGATAGCTGCTGCGTTTGTTTAGGCTGTATAATTACGGATGATTAGCGTTCACGTCATTGAGCCCACAGTCTAATGTTAATTCCCGTGAGCAGGGAAATCTTTTCTTTTTTAATCTGCAGAAGATTTTCAGATCAAGTAAACGAGCAGGGTGTCACCTGCACTCGTGCGGAGCTGGGATTAGTCATGGCTGCGTGGGAAGCATTCGTATCGTTACATCTCAACGAACAACGCGATTGTGCGGCGTTCCTGCCGTAACCACGCAACCAATAAATTAGGATCGCGTGCCAGAGACTCTCAGTTACTCTCATCGCGTTGGCTATCGCGGGTCGATATCCAAGCCACCCGACCGCTCGATCGTCACCCCTTCATCAGGCTCGAACGGCCTTCTCGCTCCACCGTCTCTCGGTCGCAAGCGACGGTCCTCGACGATGCAGAGGGAAAACCAAGACGGTGCCACAACGCCGCGCCACAACACCCCATGCCGCCGGCACACCAGTCCGCCAGCTGCTGCGCCCCCCCCCCCAAACGAGTGCCGTTGTGCCCCCCCCCTCCCCCGCGTTGCGCCGACAGATAAGCCAGCTGGCCCTGCAGATGGACGTGGAGGGCGACCCGTGTAAGTTTGCGGTGGCGTGGCGGAGCGGCGGTGGCGGCTCGGGGGGCGGCGAGCGTTACCTGCTGCAGGCGTCGAGCCCCGAGGCGCGGCAGACCTGGGTGCACGAACTCTCCCAGCTCCTTGAGACGCAGCACAACTTCCTCAAAGGCAAGAAGCAACTCCAGCGGTGTCACGAGCCGAGACCAGTCCACCCCACACTGCCATCACCAACAACACAATAATCCTTCCGGCACCTGCGCACGCACCAATGTCGTCACTCCATCTCCTCGGTGGACGCCCTCTTGGACACGTTCCGCTCCTTGGCCGCCGCTCCGTTATCAGTCGTCCATCGTCCTTTCTCATGACGCGTCCTGCCCAAGCCTTAACGGTTTGGTTGCTGTCATTAACCTGCGTAGATTCTCTGATCCACGTCTTCCTCTCTGCGTCTCGGTGCAATTCCAAGCATGCATCTCTCCACGCTTTTTTGTGCACTTTTACTTTTTATTTTGTATTGCTAGTGACCGCAGTGCGCCACGTGGCAGAGAGCGTCATACGCACTTGTAAAAAAGAAACTCCCCAGCAAACTCACGATCCTTCAAATTCTCTTCGTGTTTCCAGCATGGTCACGTCTGCCGAGTCCCTTCCCCACATACCGCACTTGCCTTGATGTTTCGCTTGTGTTTATTTTGTATTCATAAATTAAAATACTTCCCCTGCAAGTTCCTTGAGATGGACACATCTCTTTTGCGATGATTGCAAGTTGAACATTTACCCCGCCCGCCGGCCTCTCAGCAAACCGGCGCTCACACACGGCGCTCGCTCTTAACGTCGTTCGCCCGCGTCCCTTTTCTCCGCAGCGCTCGTATCGCCCATCGAGTACCAGAGGAGCCAGGGCAACGGCAACTACAACAGCCTGGGCCGGTTGCGCCCACCTGCGGGGTCCTCCCCCGTGCCCGGAGTCGGCGCCTCCCCTCGTCCCCTCTCCTCCATGGCTGCCTACAGCGGAGGGGGTGCAGCGACGGTCAAGGGTTCTGGGGCTGAAGAGGCCCCCTCCCCTGTCGGGCGGAACACCTCTCTGCCGGCGCTCAACCACCTGAGCTTAAAAGAGAGCGACGGCCCTATCACGGGCGCATCGTCCGTGGGAACAGTGGGGTCCGGCGGCGAGGCCGTCGGCCACAACTCCGGCTTTCCCACGCTGCGCTCACCGAGCGGGCTGGAACACAAGGGCTCGGCCCCGGCGTTGCTGTCACCCGGCGCTGGCGGGGAGCCCAAGGAGCGAGCGGGGGCCACGGAAGTCCCGCACGGCAGCATTCGGAGGACGGACAGCGGCCTGCATGGCTCGTCCGGCTCGGGCACGAGCCTGGAGGAGGCCGAGACGCGCGGCGTGCAGGGCGTTGGAAACGCCATGCCCCAGGGCAAGCCGCCACCGGGCAGTCCTCCGCCAGACGGGGGGTCCCCTCTCCGCTCCGCGTACTCCTCCCCGGCCCGTCTCCCCAGGGACCTATCGCTGCCCCCGTTGAGCCCCTTTCCTCCACCCAGCCCCTCCTCCAGCTCCGGCAAAACCTCTTTCTGGAGCACGGACCCAGCGTCGCCGGCCAACCGGCATGGGGTGTTCAGCTTTCCCGGCGACGGGGACTCGCTGCCGCGGCGCGCCAGGCGGCCACCTTCTGGCCGTGATGCGGACAGACTCAGCAACTGCTCCACCACCAGCGAGCACTCGCTGCAGAGCACCGGGGTGAGTGGCGGATGCACGCACACCCCGTATCCATTGTAAACTCACACACGTTGTGCGTGTGTTTTCTGCTTCTCTGCAGCTCACGTGAGCCGTATGTGTCGTGAAGCTGTATGCCGTACCGAAGTCAGACCTGCGAGAGTTTTAGACTATCATGTTTCTTTTTTTACAAGTTGCCAAGCAAAGGCTAAAAATGCCATACGACCAGCAACAAACATCACGATCAAAAGTCCTAATAGTTAAGATTTAACATGTTTCTTGAGATGTTAGCTACCTCGCCTGGTATACAGGATGTCGTGGGTTCGATCCCAACCCTGACACCTGTATATTTGGAGTTTGCATGTTCTCCCCGTGGTCGCTTGGATTTTTCTCTGGGTCCTTAGGTTGTTCCCTCTGGATTTAGAAATGTGCGTTGGGAGTATTGGCTGCGATTAATTTCCACGTGATAAGCCACTTCCTTGAGCTATCATTTGTGGCCAGGTCACTGCTGAAAATGAGTTATATAGCTCAATGGGCCCTACGTGTTAAAATGTCACTAAATATATAGTTTAGTTTTAGTTTGAATTGAGTAAGCTTGGGAAGAGATCATGGGAGGGCAATTCTATAGTGGAGCAGGGAGAGGGAAAAAGCGGTGTGAGTGGGTGAGTAAGAGAGTGAGTAGGTTGGTGAGTGGGTGAGTAAGTGGGTGAGTAAGTGGGTGAGTGGGTTGTTGTGACCAGCAGTGTGGTGGTTGAACAGTGTGGATAACACGAAACAGGCGGTTTCATAGCCAAAGTCCTCACCGTGGGTGGAGGAATCAACAAGCGAATCTGATGGTAGTAGCAGCAGCGACAGAAGAACAATCTGATAGGGAGATGGCTCATAAGGCCTCATGTGCGGACACCGGTATTTGTGTAAGAGCGAGACTCCGCTAATGTCCGCCTGCCGGCGCCTGCAGTCCCAGGGGGAGGACACCGGGAGCTCTGGCGGCGGCGGCGCCTGCATGCTGGTGACGGCCGATTACCGCGCCGTGCGCGAGGACGAGGTGAGCGTGGCCCAGGGCGAGGTGGTGCAGGTGTTGGCTACCAACCAGCAGAACCTCTACCTGGTGTACCGCGCCGCCACCCCCACCTGCCCCGCCGCGGAGGGCTGGATTCCGGGCCACGTGCTGGGCCACGCGGGGCAAGGCTCCAGCGGCAGCGCCGCTAGGGAGGTCTCCAGCGAATACGGAGTCAGGTGAGGCTACGTCACAGTGTGGGGGGTCCACGGGGATGGGGAAATGGGGACGGGGGCAATGGGGAGGGTGCCATGCGATTTCTGTTTATTCTGTGCGCACTCTGTGTTGTCGGTGTGTGTTGTGTAAGTTTGTGCTGTGTGTGAGTTGTTGTTATGTGTGTGCTCTGTGTGTGTGTGTGTGCTGTGTTGACTGTTGTTGTGTATGACTGTTGTTGTGTGCGATTGTGAATGTGTCATGGTGCTGGTCGCTTCACAGGAAGTCCCCGTCGTGGCACGCTGCGTTCCGGTTACGCCGGAGGGAGAGTCGGGGCGAAGGTCGCTCGGATGAGTCTCCACACAAGAGCCGCGACCCTCACCGCGTCATCGTCAAGGTGGGGAGTGAAACAGAGGGCTCACCTGGGAATGTTATCAGAACTAAAGTCTTGTTCTCCATCTGTTTCTTCCGTACTAACACATCTGGATTTACTGCCTTGAACTACAATCGTTAATATCGGGCCTGCATCGTTTTTGCCACTGTTTGCACACTGCGTGTCTGTCCCTAATCGGCTCGTTAGTAGCTCTGTCTGCCTGTCTGTGTCGGTTACTGCCTGTGTGTGTGCCTGTCTGCCTGTCTCTTTGCCTCCTTACCACTCCAACCTCCCCGTTGCCTCCTGCCTCCTGCTGTGCGGACGCTGCTGGCAGGACTCTCCTGTCTCTCCCGACTGCGAGTGGGACGAGACCCAGCCTAACACTAACGTGGAGGTAGCGACACTAACAACCCTAACCACAGCACGGCCGCCCTCGCCATAACAGCACTCTATCCACAGCAACGCGACTAATCTCATCACCCCTAACGTCGGGTCCTGTGGAGGGCTGTGTTTGGTGGGGTCGGGGGAATGTGCAGCAGTGTCTGCTGCTGTATCTCTTGACAGCAGGCTCTGCTTGGGTGGATAGACTTAGAAAGCTCGGCCCGGTCGCGGATATCATCGGTGCTCAGCACGGCAGCCCGTTCCATTACGAGTGAGCACCTGCGCTGCTGGGATGTAACTCTGCTTCCCATCTCCGTGTAACGAAGAGCTGGTGTCTCTCAGTGCGCATTCCGAAGCCTGACTTTTATCTCCATCTTTTTATTTTTCAGTTGCTGAATCCAAACGTCATTTACGAAGGTGAGACAAATATTCGCCACGTCATATTTCCACCAATCCCGTTGTCGCAAAATGTTGTACTTGATAAGTGTGTTCAATGAAACACGGAGAGATGCATGCTTAGGAGTTACCTGGAGAGAACAAATGCAGGTTAAAGGCAAAATTCTAATTTTTAAGAAAAGTCTGCGCTTGGGCAGGATACGTCACAGCTAGAAGGGACGATGGTCAAGAATCATAACGGAGTGGCAGCCCAAGAATGAAACACGTCGGAGAGGGCGTCCACCGAGGAGATGGAGCGATTGGATTAGTTGATGTGCAGGTGCTGGGTGTATTGTTTAATCGCAAGATTGTGAGAGGTGACGGCAGCTTGGGGAGACCTTCATCCAGCAGTGGATGGATCATGGCTGATGACGATGATGATTGGATTCTGTTCCCTTAGACAGCTGATATAGATGAACCCCCGTGTGTGTCTGGAGTTCACCGCACACAGCTCAAATCTAGCAGCAGCGTCTTGTTGTTTCGTTGTTGCGGTCGTCGTAGTAGTTGTCATTGTTGTCACTGTCGTTGTTGTTGTCATTGTTGTCACTGTCGTTGTTGTTGTCGTGCAGTTGCCCCGGAGTTCCTTCACCCCGTGCAGGATACAAGTTGTGGTATTGGCGAGACAGCCACCCTGCGGTGCAAGGTGTGCGGCCGCCCGCGCGCCACCGTGGTATGGCGGGGCCCAGGCCAGGCAAACATCACTCCCAGCAACAAGTACACGCTCGCGTACAGGTGAGCGTCGCCGCGCACAGCTGGCCTTCACCTCCCGCACACCCGGCACCAGTCAATTAATTGATCGCCACTTTGTGAGGAAGTCAACAGTGTGGAATTTCTCCTGCTGGCTCACAGCTGGAAGCCAGAGATCAGCACAGTTTTCTTGCTCATTTGAGCAGGAATCCCTTTGGCGATTTCAGAAGTAGTTCTGTAGTGTCATATTTTGGGGCTGTCCTGAGAAACAAGGCGGTGTTACTCTCCTCACTGTTGAGACATGACACCAAGAGCACGAATAACGAAAAGGCTGCACACCCCCTGCTCCAACGCCACGGTGATTGTACACAACTCCTCGGTAAAGCGTCACAATAAAAAGTTTCCACCCAATTGTTTACATTTCCCACCGTCATGTGGAATCGCATCAATTCCACTTGTAGGAGCGGCTTATGCTGAGAGGGCCTGGCGGCCCATTTCACCAGGGTTCGAATAAAATTGGTGAAAAGGAAAAGAGTGTGAGAGGGCAGGGGTGGCGGCCGAGCGGGGGGCGTATGCTGAGAGGTCGTGGTGTCGCGGCCTGCAGTGACTCCGGGGAGGCGACGCTCAAGATCCACAGCGTGATGCCGCAAGACGGCGGCCTCTACTCCTGCGTGGCCAGCAACGACGTGGGAGCCTCCACCTCGTCGGCAACGCTCCGCGTGCAGGGTACGCCCATTCCTCCTCCCTCCTCTTCCTCCTCCGCGACGCACTTCATTTATTATTTTTGTGCGATGCTCCGTCCGTCATCAAACACGAAGACTGAGCGGCTCCCCGTGGTCTCACGCTCGCAGGGGTGCCGGGAGCTCCGGGCCGCCCCGTGGCCCAGGAGCGGAGCAGCTCCTCTGTGTTCCTGCGGTGGCCGGCGCCTGCCAGCACCGGCAACTGCCCCATCTCAAGCTACACCGTGGAGTACCGCGAGGAGGGTATGGGCACTCACTCTCAACGCTCCCTGTCTGTCACAGGAGACCAACTAAGCATAGAGATTGCCAGTGTAAGTGCCTCATGCATCAGATTATAGCTGAAATCGCAGCGCAGGATTTATCTGTGTGCAGGGAGCGGACATGGCGTAGGCACTGGAGCACATGGCCCAGCGTTCGCCGCTTGTTGCAGAGGTCCGCAGTTTGAATCCGGCACACCGCCCTGGTTATTACTGCAGGTGTATTAACCATAAAATACAATGCTCCACCTGCTTTACAGTGGATGTTAAAGATCGCCTGACACCATTTGAAATGTGTGGGCCGTTGGGTGCAGGCATAATGGTCCAAATTTGCCAAATAGCAATAATTAACTTCTTCAGGCAAACTAATTCCCAGTAGCAGGCCAGGTGCAGAGTCACCTTGTGCCGCGCAGGGGCATTTGGCACTGGGGCTGCCCTTTCAAATGCGTCGAGGTAAGACGTGACATGTGTCGCATGTCGCGTGCGACGCGCTCGGTGCCGCCAGTGCAACGGAGCAGGTGTAACGGCGCGTGCATCTTGCAGGCATGCCAGGCTGGCAGCACGTGGTGACCTCCACGCTGGAGACCTTCCTGCTGGTGGAGGAGCTCAGTGCCGGTGGGCAGTATCAGTTCCGAGTGAGCGCCAGCAACCCATGGGGGATCAGCTCGCCCAGCGAGCCGTCCACGTTCATCGCCCTGCCCAGCGACCCAGGCACTGGCGCGCACCGACACAAGCACACGGTCGCACTTTGGAATTTCCTTCCATGGTATCTTTCCCCAAGCTGTTAAAGTAAACTTGCTCAATTCAAGACTGCGTGTTCACTATGTATGTGTTATAACTTTGATGGTGCTGTTTGTTGCTAACCGCATGACGAGTTGGGCCTGTGCTCATCAACTGTGTAAAAAAAAAAACACACTGTAACCTTTGCCGGTGTGAGTCGCCACAATTTATGGATTGTAATGGTGAAAAGTCATTACCCTTCGCGGTGCAGATGCCAGCAGTGATGGATTGCGTACGGTCTGGAAGGACAACTTCGACAGCACCTACGCCGAGCTCGCTGAGATTGGACGGTGAGGCCCTCCTCCACTCTGCGCGAGACCCCCGTCGCCTGACCGTACCCCCCACCGCTGCCCCCTGAAGCCCCCCCCACTGCCACGTTCGAGCCGCACGGTGCCCTCAGCGCGCCACGTCGTTTCCTGTGCCGCCGCAGGGGCCGGTTCTCGGTGGTGCGACGCTGCCTGCAGAAGGGCAGCCCCCGGGAAGTGGCGGCCAAGTTCGTGAGCAAGAAGCTGAAGCGGAAGGAGCAGGTGGCGCACGAGGCGGCCGTGCTGCGCAACCTGCAGCACCCGCAGCTGCCGTCGCTGCTGGACACCTACGAGACGCCGTCGAGCTTCGTGCTCGTGCTGGAACTGTGAGTCGCGTTCCCTAACCCTTTCTCTCTCAGCCAGTGCTCGTGCAACACAAGCTGCCCATTGAAAAATCGCCAATCTCGCCTGTACACGCGTGCCACGTCAGTGCTGCAGGTACGACTGCGTGTAAACGTGTCTGTGTGCACGTGTCTGTGGCAGGAGCGGTAGTGTAAGCGGTTAGCGCACTTTGCTACAAACCCAGCGACATGGGTTTAATTATCAATTCTTGCTCATGGCCTCCCATAGGTCGACTGAGCCTTAAATGAGTAACTGTTGCGATGTGTGAACGGCACTACTGGGGAGACAAATGCGGTTGGACATAGTGCTAGCCACCACACCATCGTGTGGCATATTGGTCATCATAGGTACTCGCTAACAGAACTTGCCCCAACAGTCTGTTAAGGCTATAGGAGGATCTTTGTCTCTTTGTCATGCAGACTGCCGGATGGTCGTTTGCTTGACCACGTGGTCCGACAGGGAGAGCTGACGGAGGAGAGCGTGGCGGGCTACCTGCGGGACACCTTGCACGCGCTGCAATACCTGCACAATTGTCGCATTGCCCACCTGGACATCAAGGTGACCATTCTTAGCAAAACTCTGCATGCAGGGCATCCGGCCTGTGATCCATGTGCAGTATAATGCATCCCTGTCTTCTGTTCAATTCGTTGCAGTGTTGCCAGCTTATGTGCATCTTGTGTCTGTTTGTAGCCTGTGTTGAGAATGGTAGATAGTATGGATATTTTTGTATGAGCTCACGATGCTCTGTTGTGGAGCATTATGTGTAACATTTCGACTTTATTCCAAGCCTTCCAAACCAATGTTACCCAAAGACCCTCTTTGATAGAGCCCTGTCCGGCACATAGAGAAGGCATGTCACATGTTCCAGTAATTGAACCTTGTTAATATATTTATTAAAATAGCTTTGTTCATGCATATTACTTATAAAAATGCTGTAGAGTTTGTAATGCGCAGATTTCGTATTGAGGCGCGGGAAACCGCAGGCAGCCAGAATTGGCATCAACAGTTGTCCAAGTTCTCTTGTCCTATATTGAACTGTTTGGCCAACTTCATTACTCGGTGGGCCAAAACTCAATGCCCACACAGATAAAAGATGGAAATTAAGCTATTTGCTGTATTGCCATACCTTTGCAAGCCAGGAGGTGGCGACCTCGTCGAGTTGGGAGTTTCGCGAATGTGTGCGGTGTCCGTGCATCGTCTGTCCGTGTTGCTCGCGTGCACCATCAGCCCGAGAACCTCCTGGTGGAGGTGTCGGGCCCGTCCGCCGTGCGGGTGAAGCTCGTGGACCTGGGCGAGGCAGTGCAGATCACCACGCACTACTACGTGCACGTGCTGCTCGGCAGCCCCGAGTTCGCCTCGCCCGAGGTGGTGCGCGGCCAGCCGGTGGCGCTCAGCACCGACGCGTGGAGCCTCGGCGTCCTGGCCTACGTGCTGCTCAGCGGCGTGTCGCCCTTCCTCGACGAGAGCGTCGATGAAACCTGCCTCAACATCTGCCGCCTTGATTACAGCTTCCCGGAGGAGTACTTTGCGAGCGTAAGCGAGGAGGCGCGATCGTTCGTGCGCCTCCTGCTGCAGGGTGACTACACGCGGCGCCCCCCGTGCTCCGCCTGTCTGCTCGATCCCTGGCTGCAGTGCCCGGGCTACGCCTACCCCGGCGCGCTGCTGGACGTCGCCCGTCTCGCCGCGTTCATAGAGAGGCGGAGCCATCAGAACGACGCGCAGCCCATCAGCCCCGTCACCGACTACATGATCAGCCGCGCCACCATCCGGGCGTAACGACCCGCTTGGCAGCCGTCGAGTGTGGGTCCCGGGGCCTGGGCAGTGGGGGGGTCCTTGGGTTGAGCATCGACCTTTAGGCCGAGCAGTTTAAAGGTCGTAAGGCAAAGGAAGCAATAATAATAGAAACCAGTTTTCAAAAGTTTGAGCAACCGAAAGAGGTTCTACCTGAGCCTTGACATACTTTTACATTTCGTTTCTTACAGCCAGTCCACCCTCGGGCAAAGAAAACCAATGCAAATGCAACACTTGGCCGCTCATTTTTTAAGGGGGAAACATTGCACAGGGCTCCCTCTCAAGTGAACTATTTTCCTCGGACAACAGTTTTGTACAGAATGTGGACACGGTTTAAAAGCCAAAAACTACCAGGAGGAGCAGTAGGGCTGCATGACGGGCATGGAGGTAACCAAGCCCACACGGGGCCCGGGTGGCAGGCGAAGGCGGCACGCGCTTCCACGCATCCGATGCAGGAAGGTGCCAGGGCTTGCATGATGTCCCGGGTCCACCTGGTGGTTTCGTTTGGTACAATGGGCGGGTTACCTGGGCCAAACAGACCGCATGCCTACTGGCTGCTTACCTATGCGTGTGGGTGAATGCAAATGAGTGTGCGTATGCAACTTTATTCATGCACACGTGTGCTTGCACGCATGTTCAAGGCCACGTTGTTCAATGCCAGACTGTTCAATGCCAAGCTCCTGTTAGTGGAGTAAGCGAAATCAACACACACATCCACAACCCAATCATAACTACGAGAGAAGGTTGAGGCTCCATGGAGCTACTCAAAGTGTATTTAACAGTGTATTTAACAAATCCCTATAGAGACCAGCTCCAATGCATTCATAGTGTGGTTTCAGTGCAGGGCCACCTGTATTACGGCAACACTGTTCACCTTCCCATCTGCCCCTCAGGCCAGACATGGTGGTGGCCTGATGGGCAGGAAGGCCGAGTGCACCTGTACAGAGGCCAGGCCACGTTGGCGTGTTGACTAGGTGTTCCCCTACAACAACGCCTGATGTTACATGCCTGGGTGCGAACACCCGCAGCGTGAGTGGTAACCGGGCGTGGCTGTAATCACGACGCGTTCTGAACAGACGGACGTACGGGCTAAGGGACCTGAAGTGATTAATAAATGTAGTGTGTACTCTGCTCGTGCCATGTGTTTGGAAAAAAAAAGAATGTCTTATGCAGTAACCATAGCGTTTAGTGTTGTTTAACGGAAGGTGTTGGTACGCTTTGCGTTCCTCCTCCCCACGTGGGCGATGAGTGGCGTGCGCCCCGCATGCTCGCCCTCGCTGCCCCATTCCACGAGCCGCGCCCCTTCTCCCCAGCTGTGGTACGTGTGCCATGCGTGTGTGCCGTCTGTGCGTGCCATCTGTACATGCCGTCGTGTGTGTGTGTGCATGCCATGCCGATTCCACCCCACGTGTGCGCGTGTGCCGTGGTCGCGTGTGCCGTGCGCGCACCAGTTTGTGCGCGCGGGGTTCTGTACAACCTGGCTGCCAATCTGAAAAATGTAACCTTTTGCAGGTTTAAGCTGTCGAGGCTCAAGGCCGAAAACCTATTATTCAGCCTTGTGTTTAGAAAGCATATTTTGCCAAAATTAAATGTATTTTCGGCTCGGTGACCAGCTCTCTGAGCGTTTTAGACAATGTTGTTCCATGTGAGTGTACAAGCATCGGCGTGCCCCGTGTGCCCTCTGTGTGTAAATAGTGTGCGTTCTATTTAATGGCAGTCCTAGACCGTGGTGGGTGAGGTAGGTCGGCCGCGTGTGCGAGATGTCCCCGTGCGGTGTACCGGGTCCCACCGGGGCCCTCGTGTGGTGCTGTGCGTACTTTTTATCACCGTGAATCTGGAGTATTAAAGGCAAGCTTTACATCCTAACCCGAGTCCGCGTTGGTTTTTGGAGACGTGGCACGGTGGAGGTAATGAGCAGTGCCTGCTACCGAGGGCCACTTGCACCGGAGCGCATGAGAAAGGAAAATCCAACATCTCAATTATAACGAATCATGACGGGTGTTATGACATTCACACCGTAATCTGACCTTTGCCCCCTATATGCGTCAGCATTCGGGACGATATAACTGCGGGTTACATCGTAATGTTTAGTAGGTTAACGCATGAGAATAGGTTTCCCCTTTTTTCTAGAAACAAAACAGGTGTTAAGATATTAAAACACCAAACTGAAACCTTTTACAAGGAATCATGTCTGCATTAACCACAATACTTGTGGCCAGAATGCGAAAAAAACACAGATAATATATGCATTGTGTTAGACCAGAGGACGCCAAAAGGCGCGTGTTTTAACATCTTAACACAGCTGGTTTGTTGCCGGAAAAAAGGGGAAAACCTATTCTCATATTTTGGTACTGGCAAAGGAGGTCCCATGATGAAGGTTTAACGCACTTTGATGGCTCAACGAAGAAGAGAGCAATGTCGAGCTTCGTCTGGAGTGTGGTGGAGCTGTGCCCCTGCGAGACGAGATATTGGTAACGCGGAAGACAGACGCAAAGGGATCGGAAGGTTTTGAGCGTGGATTCGGTGCAGAGTTATGAAGATGAGCCGGACTGATTGAAATATCGCGTCGTGTTTCAGGTGGGAGAAGAACGATGACTTATTTGATGGTTATGAAGAGGGGGGACATCCGTATCGGGCAGGTGGTAATGAGAGGCTTGCTGAAGGGAGTTATGAGAGAGAATGGCTTGCTGCCGAGTGAGGTGGTGGAGGAAAGATATAACAGGTTATTGCAGCCATGTTGTCGGTTACTTGGATTGGGTCACTGACGGATGCACCATCCACGCTCCCCACGATGCTAACTCACTGTGTTTTAGCTGACCGCTATTATGCTCATTCATAATAGATTTTTGGGTTTGGCCATGTAACGTATCGCCAAATTTGTGAAATAATACTCTCCACCACCTATCCACCACCTGACAGCCAAATAAACTGTCACATTTACAGCATTCAATGTGAAAATGATTGTTTCAGCTCGTCGATACGTTGAATAACACATTTCACAACTAAATGTATCTATTCGATAACGATGGTCTGCTTGAAATTGCACCGGGCATTTTAAGGACCAGTTTCAGTAAGTCGTTCTGACTTTGCCCTGAAGACATTTTGCGCAGTTTTAAGCGAAATGAATGTGTGTATTTTGGTTGCTAGAGTTTTTAAACGTACCAGTGGCGGCTGAAACTATAATCAATGGCGCATTAAACGCTTACACACGTGGCAAGCTCTGTTGGATGGTGGATGGTCCGACGGCACAAATGTGGCCACATCATTACGTGGCCTCGCTCGTAACTCGAACAGGAAGAAGCTAAATAATGTCGATGCCAGACGACTTCGATAAGGGCGTACGGCCATGACGTCGGCAGCGGCTCGCAGTGACACAGAACACTGAATCAAGATGACCGAGCTTTGTTTGCCCAGGAGGCAATCCTTTAGAAATCCAAATGCAAAGCGTGCTGAGATTTCCGCTGCCAGTGGGTGGCTGCCACTTCTGTTAAGCCCCTAAAACCCCCCGCGGAGTGGCCCGAATGGATGAGAACAAACAAATAATAATGAAGCACGCTGAAGAAGAAGGCGAGATAAGGGATTACAATGATGACCAAAGAGAAAGGATAAGCAGAGCTCCAAAACAAAACAAAACCTGTCAGGGAAAAGAACGATCTAAATTTGAAGTTTATATAGATTTGAAGTGAAGGGAAAAGAACGGTTACACAAAACATTAAAGATATTACGAGGTAGAAGGTAACGACCAGCAGGGAATAATTGAATGATGCAGAGCTGAGCCAAAGCTGGTGCGGGTTGCCCCCCACCACACAGATCGGGCTCGAGTCGTGACATGAAGAGAGGCGACGGCAGCTTGGGGATGCTCTTGTCAACGTTGAGTCCGATCGATAGAAAGACAGGAAGCAACACGGCCACGTTCTGCAAGAGGGGCCGCGCTGTCGAGCAGCGCCAATCGCGAGCGCGCTATGACCTGACCAAGGAACGTGGACACTGCGGCCGAAAGTGGAACAATAACGACGACGACAGCGGCCTCGTAGCGCGGCGTCTCGTGAGCGGCCCGGGGCTTTAAACCCCCGGCGACGATGACAGGCGAGGAGGAGGAGGCGGAGGCGGCGGCGGGTCCGACCGGCAGGGGTCGCTGCGTGACCCGGACCCCTCGCGAGCCCCGCGACCAGGGCCCCCCGCGGAGCGCACGGCCGAAGGCGGCGATCGTGTCGGGCTCCGGGCCCCGCGGTGGTCCCAAGAGTGCCCCCAGTCCCAGTCCCCGGTCCCAGTCCCCGGCCCCAGTCCCCAGTCCCAGTCCCCGGCCCCAGTCCCCAGTCCCAGTCCCCGGCCCCAGTCCCAGTCCCAGTCCCCGGCCCCAGTCCCCAGTCCAGTCCCCGGCCCCAGTCCCCAGTCCCAGTCCCCGGCCCCAGTCCCCAGTCCCCGGTCGAGCGAGGACCGCGGGGACCCCCCCCCCCCCACGCCGCCGCAGCGAGTGCAGCAGCAGCAGCGGCGGCGGCGGCGGCAGGAGGCGCGGGCCTCGCGACCTTCGGCACCAGTTGGGTGGCAACGGGGGAGGCGAGACGAGGAGGAGGAGGAGGAGGCAGACGAGAGAGGGAGACGAGAGGGAGACGAGGAGGAGGAGGAGGCGAGCGAGAGTTGGGGAACACACGGAGAGGTGGGGACAACAACGGGGAGAGGATGAGACGCGACTGGGAGCAGGAGACCGGGAGAGGAGGGGGGAGACGTCGAGACGATGCGAGTGCGATGGGCTGTGTGAGAGAGGGGGGATGGCAGGAGGTTGAGGGGAGACTGGGAGAGGTGGGCGGGGGGGGACTTCCATAAAAGAAGGGGAGCTAAGAGGGTGGGATACGAGGCAGAGAGCTGTGTGTGTGTGTGTGGAGGTGAGTGAGGGTCGTGGAGCCCTCTCCGAGCGGGGCCAATGGACATTGATTCTCGACCCCATTCCGATCATTCCCCAGTAAAATGACGGCGACCTAATTGCGGTCATGAGCACAGCATTATCAGGAGGAGCCCCACGGAGAGGGCCCCTGGCAGTGAACATGCAGCAGCAGTTCGACAGCACTGGCCCAGGCGAGCCTGGCCCGCTGGTGAGACGCCGAATGTCGAAACCGGTCCCAGGGGTTTGTGTTTGTGTCGGACCAATGCTGCTGAAACGCTCTCCTCGCAGGAGGAAGACCCTGTGGCTGCTGATGGGATGTGTAAAGCAGTACTTGTATATGATGCATATAGATGTGGAGGCAGGGGCGGAGCGACCTGTTACAACGCGGGGGGCTGTGGGTCCCCCACTCCTTCTCGCGACTCACTGTCAGGCTGTATAACTATATATTATTTTAGTTGCACCGTGTATTGTGTGCGCAGGAAGACAGTCTCGCAGTGACAGTATTACTTTTTTTTTATATGTCAAGGTACAATACTCACAATTGAGTTCCCGTGCCTCTTGATTTCATGCTGGACCAACATTACCCACAGTGGAGGTGTTTTGAGTCAGATCGCCTAAATATAACCGTGTCGTTAAACCCGCCACCACCCGACGCAGACAATTCGTGAGGTTCGTCACGTACACAACACGTGGCAATTCGTTACGAGTTCGGCACACCGCTGTGATGATGCTGGTTGTGAATGCCTCGAACTGTAGATGTTGTGGGGGTTCTCTCCGACACAGGCGGGGTGCTGGACCAGTCACGAATTGGCCACGTTTTGTTTACTTGACAAACCTGACGGATTGGCTGTGTCAGATAGTGGCGGGTTTAACGACACATTTAGATTTACGCGATCTGACCCAACACAAACTTATCTTATCTATTGATATGATAACCAGATGCATTCATCGGGCTTGGTCCGTGATAGACCGCAGGTAATTTCTAATTAATAAATTTTCATAACATGTTGTTACTATCTTGATTTGAAGCTTTCGTGACTGCAGGAATCCATACTCTTTGGTTCTTTCGGTAAAGTCACGTAACTTTACCGACAGAACCAAAGAGTATGTTGTTACTCTGTTTATCTGTTGATTCGGGGCCTCCTTGTGGCCGATTGGACCCCTATGCGTCGCATAACGCTGCCACACGACACCGCCAAAGTTGCGCCCCTGTTTGGAGGGACAGATGTGTGAAGAAGTCGGTGTCTGCCGAGTTATTTAATTGCAGTAATGACTGCAGAGCGTCCATACATAACACGGTTGCTGTGGTGCAATTGGAACCTTACGTTTTCTATATTTTCCTAGAAAAGCCCCAAAGTCCGAAACGTTTCCAGTGTGATGTTTGGACAGTGTTTCGTCTTCACTTGCACTATCAATGCCACCTGCCAGAGCAGTGCAACCTCCTCCCTGTGTGTGTGTGAGTGACAGAACGGCCCGTGGAACGTGATGTCATAGAACTGATTCTTAGATCTCACCTGGTTACACAAATACACTTGGTTTAACACACGGCTTTCGCCACTAATATTATCCATAATAGAGGTTTTTGGGTGAGATCGCAGAAATATACATGTGTCGTTAAACTCGCCACCGCTCGACAGAGCCAGTCAGTCAGCTTTGTCACGTAAATAAAACATGCCAATTCGTTAATAGTACAGCACACCGGTGTGTTGGAGAGTAAACCCACAACATTTATAATTCGAGTACTGTACGACGTTTCGCCAGTGATTACAACTAGCATCAGGCGAAAGCTAGCATCATCATCGCCTGATGATGCTGGTTGTAATTACTGACGAAACGTCACACTCGAATGTTGTGGGTTTACTCTCCAACACACCAGTGTGCTGTACTAGTCACGAATTGGCATCTTTTGTTTACGTGACAAACTTTACTAATTGGCTGACGGGTGGTGGCGGGTTTTAACGACACATTTATATATTTCCGCGATCTCACCCATACACCTCTATGACGGACACTTGGCTTGACTGTCTCTTCACGAGATATCTTAGCCACACGGTGGTGAGCACATTGACACGTTCACAGCGGCCCTCCTACCAAATACATGTTGGGTACGTGGCAGAAAACCTCGCTAGGGAGTTCTGCCAATAAATTCAAAAGTCAAATATAAACACGTTTGTTTTGTGCAGCCCTTGCTGACCGGGTTTAGATAATCGACGAACCACGCGTGAGAGCCGTGTACAGTCGTCGGTCGTACCCACGTCTGGTGCCCTGTTGGCTTACTCTGTTTATCAGAATCATTGTCATCGCACACGCCAATGTGGCCACTTGCAGGTGTTTTATTTTGCTCTGTTGCCTTGTTTTTGCTAAAAACAAGTGACGTTGAGCAGTAGTACGTGCACTTTACTTCAGCTTGGCATGCGTGTGTGTGTGTTATCAGTGGCGCACTAGGACCCACATTCCACGGGGTCCCGGCTACATTGCGATCACGTGTGTTTTTAACAAACACATGCACTTTGTAAATGCAGATAAGAGTGGCGAAGGCAGCGCACCAAGGCACTATTGTGGGCACTATCTATTTATTGCCCTCCACAGGCACAACTGTCGCACAGCGCGACTCCGCGCTTGCTGCTCAAGGAGAAGGTGGATACAGGTGTGGTGCACAGCGTATTCCGTTCAGAAAGGACCAGGTGAGCGTCGTGCGAAGAGATGGAGAGCCAGATGTTTGAAGGACAGCAAGGGGAGCGAACCTTTGAACACCAGGACAGCCTGCCAGCCCTGCCCGTGCCGAGTCTGGATGAGACGCTCACCAAGTACCTGGACTCTGGTAGGGAGGAGAGCCGGCGCTGTGCCGCTGCCTTCACGAGCGCCTCGCGATTGCTTCGGGCAAACGTCGCCTAAACCCATGCTGATATTTCTCTAATTTAATTTTACTATGAGCGTTTTTTTAAAAGTAGTATGTCCGAGCCAATTGTTGAAATGACAAATTAATTTAATACTGTTTTTGTCTGTGCACTTTCTTTGATTTATTCTGTAATGTGGTTGTGTTTCCGCTGATTTTCATTGCTTCATTGTTGTTAGCGCTCTTTGACTTGTGAAATGAGACCATCCTTGTTTCTCCGCTGGTTAAACGACAGAAACGTATAACAGCAGCACCCAATGCACGTGCGACGATCGCGTGTGCAGTCAGGCCCTTCGCTACGGACGAGGAGCTCGCCCACACGCGGGAAGTGGCGCGGCGCTTCAAGGAGGGAGTTGGAGCGAAGCTGCACGCGCTGCTTCTGCGGAGGGGAGCCGAGCGCCAAAACTGGGTGCGTGGGAGCAGCGTGCGCGCCGCCCTGCACCAGCAGCTAGGAACCTCGCGCGTGGCACGCGCGCCGTCAAATCTCTACCGGCAATCTCTGCACGTTTCGGGGGAAAATCCTTATGCGGTGTTGTGGAGAATTATGGGTAATGTCGCGTTATATTTATTTTTTTAGGCGTCTTAAGTGTACAGTTTTTCGATCCACACTCTTGATTCTTATTGGTCTGTCCACTAGGTGTCGCTGCTTACACGTAGAGCTGCTTCGTCTTGGCGGTTTCCAACCTTGTGGTCTGAATGTTATTAGAGAGGTTGGGACAGCACTGGTCTGAACTTTATTTATTTAACACAGTGGCTGAGCACAGGCCCATCGACAAACAACACGATCAAAGTTGTAAGAGATAAAGTGAACACTTTTCCTGAATTGAGCAGGATTATTATAAGAGCTTGGGGAGAAGGAACCATTAAGTGGAGCAGTGGGAAGTGTCGTGACTTGCAATGTGATGGTTGAACAGAGTGTAAATGAGTCTGGTCGAGCAAGTAGAGTGAACACGTTATGGACCGAAGAGACAAAATACAGCGCATTTCAACATTTTGTATTTGAACGTAATGTGGTGTTGCCTGCCTGGCCCTGTCACGTGACTGCTGCTGCCCTGCCCCGCGTGATGCAGCTGGAGGAGTGGTGGCTGAACAAGGCATACCTGGAGTCGCGGGGCCCGCAGCAGATCACAGGGAACTTTGGGGGACCAGGCCCTTACCTGGAGCACGTGTGGCCTCCCAAGGTGGGGACCCAGCTGGAACGGGCCGCCATCTTGCTGTGGCACCACCTCAACTTCTGGCAGCTGCTACGCACGTGAGATGCGCACACACGGACAATGAATAATTCACTCCATCATTTGCCCACCGTTAGTCAGTCACCTCCTAATCACTCTTCTATAACTGCTACAACTGTTCTTGTCATCTTCACGCGTTGGTTCATTCACCCATATTGAGTACTCGGTCTACCAGATGGACTGCTTTGTTTAAACCACGTTGTAATCCACAGTGCAGGTCAAAACAACATGCACTCACTCACTCACTCTCCCATTCACACACTCATCCTCCCACTTACTCAATCAGCACACTGCAGGTCACGCCTCTTGCTGCTTCTTCCCTTGCTGTGCTCCACTATGGAATTTCCTCCCATTATCGTCTCTATTCCCAAGCTATTCTAATTACCCTCCTCATTTCAAGATGCATTTTAACTCTGTAACTATTACAACTTTAATGGTGTCGTTTGTTGCTGGCCACGTGACCTTTAGGACCTGTGCTCAGCAACTGTGTAAGAGAAATCGCATACTACATGTACCAGCGTGTTTGTATGATGTTTCCCGCATGTGTGTGTGTGAATGTGTTGGTGCGTGAAGAGAGAGGCTGGCCACGCACCGCGCTAAGGGTGTCCCACTGGACATGCATCAGTTCCGTATGATCTTCGGTACCTGCAAGATCCCTGGAGAGAAATGTGACTCCATCGTCTGCCATTTCAAGACTGGTAGGCTCTCCCAACTAATTGGGTGCCATGGTGGCAAGATGTTAACTCTCTTGCCTGGTATACACGAGGTCGTGGATTCGATCCCGATCCTGACACCTGTATATTTGGAGTTTGCATGTTCTCCCCGTGGTCGTGTGGATTTTTCTCCAGGTCCTCCGGTTTTTACTTCCACATTTAGAAATACGCATTTAGAGTATTTGGCTGCCATACATTTCCACATGATAAGTTACATCTTTGAACTATCATTTGTGGCCAGGTCGCTTCTGAAAAATATCTGTTTAGCTCATTGGGCCTTCCCTAGTAAAATAAAAATTGGAAAAAAATTATAAAAAATAGGTAATAGGAAATTACTATTTTCAGAATTGGCAAAGTCCACGGTGCTGCCGTGCAGACAAATTTACGTGTTCGCGATACGCAGGTGCGTGGTAGAGAAAAAAATTCTCATTTTCCGCAATAATTATTTATTTTATTTATTTTACTACAATTGGCAACCCCGGTCAGAAAATCTTGCGGGCTGCATCAATATCAGTTCTCGTGATGCCGAAACAGTGGGAAGACGGATGTCCTGAGCAGCTGAACATGAAGCTTCACAGTCTTTTACCGTTGAGCAGCACCCAGCCTGATGACGATTGGCTGCTCTGTATTTTGACTCCTCGTGCCTTGGACAGATTTAACTCGTGCCCTAGACTTGGTCGGATGGTTAGGGTTAAAGAAATACGACCACTGACCTGTCATGAACAATTCTACCTATATTGGATAATCTTGTCCTTAAATAGCATTGGTTGTTCACAAGAAGATTTATATTTTGACCTCATTTATTGTTGCCATTACAATAACCCTAAACCTAACCCGAACAATCGCAACACTCTACTTGCCGTACTATCCATCGGTGGTTCAAGACGACGAAGATGATGATGATGATGTTGCTCAAGTCCCACCTCAGGCTCTTAAGGCAACGCAAGAAGGCTGCTGCTGCTGCTGCTGTTGCTCCAGGAGCTCGCCTTCCTGGTCGGCCCAAAAAGTCGAGTGGCCCGGACCCAAATCAATGGGCAATATTGGCCTTATTTTAGCAAGTCTCAGTAGACTAAATAATCCTTTGAATCGCGTAAAACTTAGCGAAAGGATCAATTAAAGACTGAAAAACAGATTTGCTGATTCAAAAATTTATTTCATACTGATTTATGAGGACCGGTATGTGTTATGCTGCACTGGTGTACCACCAATATGTCAAAATGCTGCTGCGAGGATGCCCTCCCAAGAAGAAACACTCAATAAGTTCATCAAGACCACTTGTGGCCCTAAAGGAAATGTATAATTGGCGAACTTTTGGGCAATGGCCCTGTTTCATAGCACATACAGAGGCCTGAGAGGTGGAGTGGATATTAAGAGCTTGGAGATTTTTGTATCAGATAGCGTGTTTTGTACACCCTCCTCCGTAGCGAATGCTTGGTAATCGTTATGGTTTCTCACCCCCTCTCACTTTGCCCCTGCCGCCACCTTCTGCCAACAGAGCCGGAGGGCGCCTGCCCGTCCCATGTGGTGGTCTTGTGCCATGGCAGAATCTTCACGTTCGATTCTCTGGCGCCCGGCGGGGACATTCTCACACCTCCCGAGCTGCAGAGGTCAGGGTGGTCCACTCAGTAGAATGCACACACCAGTATTAGGAAGGCCGTACGTACATATTTGGTTTTAATTTGTGCTCATTACCTCACGAGTTAATCACAAGGAGATGCGTGGCATCGTGTGCACGTGCGTGCGTGCGTCTGTGTGCATGCACGTCCCCGTGTGGGAGCAGTCAGCTCGCGCTCGTGAAGGCTCGCTGTGCAGCGGAGCCCGAGGGACCCGGCTTGTCGGTTCTCACAGCCGGCGACAGAGCCAGCTGGGCCAAGGTAACAACCGCTTCTGAGTGATGTGGCCCGTGCATGGGAGCCCGTGCCATGCATGCGTCGAGTGATGGAGTGTTGCGTAGGTGTCACGTGACGTGTGTGTGTGCCTTCGTTTGCATGTGCCAACAAGACATTGTGGAGCAGCATTGCAGTGAACTGAGCTTGATTCCTGCTCACGGCCAATATCAGTGACAAATATCTCAATCGATCCTACCTCCCACCCCAACTCCAGGTCGACTCAGCTTTAAATTAGTACCCGGTGTGGGTGCAGTATGCAAATATATGCAATGGGGAGACAAGGGGGGGCGGGCGTGGCACTGACTAGCTACTGCCCCTTCCCCCCAGCATGCCGTCTTCAATAGACGCTCGCTAACAGCACCCAACAGTCTGTAAAAGCCGAAACAGGGTATCTTTCTAGATTTAAAGCTTTCGTGACTGCAAGAATTCATACTGTTAGGTTTTTTCGGTAAAGTCACGTAGGTAAAAATAAATAATAAAAATAATAGAAATAAAATAATAAATCCCGTCGTTTCGGAGGCAACACAAGTCTCCGTCATCTTTGTTTCGTCGCGTGTATTACAGACCAGGCAGCACCTGCTGAACTTGTGCGCGGAGAATGTGGAGCACATGAACGCGGTGGAGAGCAGCCTGCTCGTGCTCGTGCTGGAGCAGGCATCGCCCTCCGCCTCGCCGAGCGACTACTCCCAGGTGATGCGTTCCAAACGTTCTCTTGCGGATCACTCGCTGTCATTTCGCCAGGCGAGGGCCTGTTCATTCATCTAGCCGGGCGAGGGCCTGTTCATCTAGCCGGGCGAGGGCCTGTTAAGGTTAAGGCCCTCTGAAGCACACTGCGTCGCCATTATTAACCACTCTCGCCGCTCGGCGTGCACGCCAACCCTTGCAGCTCCAGAGCTGGGCATTAGCTGGCAATCCCCGGGGCCGCTGGGGGGACAAGTCCTACAACCTGATCGTCTTTGAGAATGGCACCTGCGTCTCCAACTGTGACGTAAGCAGCACTCGCGCCATCACAACAAAGGTTGATGTCATTTCATACAGACCCAGAGGTGTGCACAACTTGTTTGTACCACTTCATGGGGAAGTCAATAGTGGTAGAATATGGATAGAATTGCCTGTGACATATATAGAACTTCCGCCAATGGCTGAGGGCTGTAAACAGATGATCATCACCGACGTCTCAATGGTTAGTTTAACACTTAGGCTTTCGCGACCAATATCATCCATAATACAGGTTTTTTTGTGTTAGATTGCGTAAATATATAACGACACATTTACGCGATCTAACCCAAAAAACCTGTATTATGTCTCAATGGTTGATTGAGCAGGAAATCACTTTAAATATTTTTTGTAGTGTTCAATAACATTTAATGTTGGGTAAACAGTCAGGAAGTGCTGATGTGTGCAGAGTGTTCTCTGTTCTCCAACCCCTGCAGCATGCTCCCTATGACGCGATGGTGCTGGTCTCAACCACGAGTTACGCCGAGAACACCCTGAAGAGAGTTGACGGCGTGTGGGTGGTGAGGCTCACATCCGCACACACATCTCTCTTCATGTGCACACACGCACACACACACCCCTTGCATGCACGTGTGCACCCTACGTGTGTATGTGCTGCCTGTGCTGCCTGTGTTAAGAGCAGTAGTGCAGTGGTTAGTATGCTGTACTCCGAATCCGGCGACTGAGTTCGATTCCTGCTCACAACTAATATCGGTGACGATTATCTGAACTGGTCTTGGTACTCCCCTAGGTCAAATCAGCCTCAAATGAGTACCTGGTGTGGTGCGTGAACATTGTCACTGGGGAGACAAATACGGTCAGCCGTGGTGCTGGCCACCCACCCCCTCATGTACCATGCTCACTAACAGCACTTCATAAATACTCGCTAACAGCACTTCATAGGTGCTCGCTAACAGCACTTTCACAAACAGTCTGTTAAAGGCTATACGGGGATCTTTGTTTTTAAGTAGCCTGTGTTCTTTGGTGCCCGCATTCGTGCCGTCGCGAGCAGGGAGAAGTTCCTCTCCGCCCACTACCGCAGCCCCAGGAGCTGCGGTTCCGGCTGGATGAGCGAATCTTGTCGGATATAGCTCACAGCGAGGCCCTTTACAACCGTCAAGTGAGTGGGCGTGCGTGCACACATTTACACATTCCGCACAGCAGGAGCTGCGCTGAGCATCCAAATCTTAGTCTGGATCTTGAGTCGGACGGACCCTGCACTTACACTTTGTGTGTGTGTATGCTTAATGCAAAACTATCATCATCATCGCGTCTTTGTGCACAATATAAGTAACGGAATAAATAAGCAAGACAATAATCAACTGTATCTGTCCCTCCACATAAAAAAATATCTACACATCCCATCAGCCACACGGCCTTTTGGAAGTACATCATTTCAGAAGAACTGGTTCAACACAAGCCAATCTCTCGGCAAGTTTTGGCATTCAGTGTCTCAAGACACTTGCTTGAACCAATATTGATCAGCTGTCAGGTTATAGGCAAGGACCCGCTCTGCTAGATATGGGTCCTAGTACGACACAAAACTATAGCATACACAGCACAACATAATCATTGGTGTTGTGGTGTCTGTACATTTGCACAGGCAAAGGACCTCCAGGTGGTGTCGCTGGCATTCACAGCGTTTGGGAAGCTGCTCATCAAGCAGCGCGGGCTGCACCCTGACACCTATGTACAGCTGGCGTTGCAGCTCGCCTACTACAGGCTGCATGGCCGGTAAAGCATGCTGGCTCTACACGGGCTCACCTGCAAACTCACCTATCAACCCATGGCTTGTGATAAACCACACAGGTGGCTTGCTTCTAAATTGTGCCACGTGTGTGGCAGTTGGGCCAGGTGCTGTCCAGCCAAGCACTGAGTTCCACGTCTGTGATCAATTATGTTGTCGTTTCTCAGTTTTTGAGGCCAGGACACATTTCACTCATTCACCACACAGCATATTCTGAGCTCCAAGGTAGAAAATACTCTCGCAGTAAAGACAACATTTACCCGCAGCCAATGAGAAATCTGCATCAGCTGGAAAAGGGATTTCAGGCCTTAAATGAGCATTGATGCGGTGCCCATCTTCTGTTTACAGCCCTGAGCGAGCAGTTATGAATACAGATTCCTCTGGCGGGTGTAAGTCTACCCATAAGATAACCACTCTATCCTCCCCACAAAGCGGTACTTGTTTTATAGACCCCAGACATATGATGAGCTGAGGCACACTGCCGCCCTCGCGCTTCAGCGTGGACCCTGTTGTCGTCTGTGTGTCCAGGCCCGGCTGCTGTTATGAGACAGCGTCCACGCGCAAGTTCTACCACGGCCGCACGGAGACCATGCGGCCCTGCACCCCAGAGGCGGTGGCCTGGTGCCGGGCCATGCAGGAGCCTTCCATGCCGGCACGGTCCCACACGCACACACACAGCATACAAAGACAACCTGTATAGCCATGCATGCTATTGAAGCAGCTGCTGTTAGCGAGTGTAAAGTACTTATTTAAGACTGAGTTGACCTAGGATAGGCCCAGGATCGGTTCAGATATTTGTCACTGGTCATGAACTGGAATCGAACTCGGGTGGCCGGGATCGTAGCGCAGTGCGCTAACCACTGCCCCACTGCCTCCACAGTCCCGCGCACCCTCAGGAACGCACGCACACGTTGCCTGTGTCCAGCATCTTGTGAAGGGATATGCACACGGATGTACCAACAACACACTGCCGCTCAGTGGGTCGTATAAACACGGGGCACGCTTCCAGGGGTGGAGTGACACAAGTCCGATCAGCACGATTGGCTACGTGCGGTGCAAAAGAAGTTGAACATATATACGTCCAAGTTGCAAGTATGGATTCCTGTGGCGTGCACTAATCTGTTTGTGCATCGATTTTGGCAGACGGGGCGAAGGCTGGAGTTGATGCTGGAGGCATTTGACAAGCACAACCGGCTCATGAAGGAATGTGAAAACAACAAAGGTAGAGAAGCGCGGTCGTGGTGCCATCAGCTGTGGCCTCAATGAGAATAAAATAACAAAGCAGGCAATGTGCCTTCACATATCTGTCACTAAAAATGTTAATATTTCTTTTCATACATCCCATCAGCCGCACAGCCTTTTGGAAGTGCGTTTTTCAGCTTCGTTGATTTAACAAGCAAACTCTGGACCAGTTTTTAACATTCAGCGTCTCGTCAGCAGTCAGACATGGTTGAACCAGTGCTGGTGCACTGCAAGATGTCTGTAGGCAAAGATGGGTCCTGGTTCGACGCAAATCAATATAATACACAATACAAGTGTCTTTGTAGAGAATTTAAATAAAATAATGAAGCAGACAATGTGTGTCCTTCACCTATTTGTGCCTTCATGTAAAAAGTTATTATGGTGCCTTCAGTTGTGAGAACAGATTAAGCGACTTAATGGGAAACTGAATTTGAATGTGACTTTTGCCTGCAACGCATGTGAATGCTCGGCATGCGGCCCATACGTCAGTGAGTGTGGTTCGCATGCATGTGTGCGTGTGTGTAGGGGAGCCGTGGCAAAGTATTTAGTGCATTGCGAACCTGGCCATTCAATTCTTGCTCATGGCCAGCGTCAATGATAAAAATCTGAACCTTTCCTAGGCCTCCCCTAGGTTGACTCTGCTTTTAATGAGTACCTCGTGTGGTTCAGCCACTGGTGAGACAAAGGTGGCTGGGTGTGGTTCGAGCCACACCACCCCCTTATTGGTGCACCATATCAGCCTTCATAGGGGCTCGCTAACAGCACCTGCCCCAACAGCCTGTGTAGGCTACACTGGCGATCTTTTCTGTGTGCACAGGCTGCGACCGGCACCTCCTGGGCCTCCTGCTGCTGGCAGAGGATGAGGGCCTTCCCGTACCAGAGCTGTTCCGCGACCCTTCCTTCACCAAGAGGTGGGTGCGACTGGATGGGTGGATGCTGGGGGCAGGAGGCATCAGGGTGTTAGAATCCTCCGTGATTATGTGACATTCCACAGCCCCCTGTGCGGTTTTTCACGCCGCATGGTTGTTCACACTGTTTGCGTGTGACAGTGGTGGCGGAGGGAACTTTGTGCTGTCAACGAGCCTGGTGGGATATACCAACACTCTGGGCGCCGTCGCTCCTATGGTGCCACACGGCTACGGCTTCTTCTACCGCATCCGCGATGACCGGTGTGTCCCGCTCGCCTGCCAAATATTAAATCTGAAACAAACCCGCACCATAACGCTTTCATGTCCGCGTTTGTCTCTGTCCACGTGTCCATGTGTGTTCGCGCATCCATGTGTCTGTATTGTGCCCGTGTGTGTCCATGTTGTGTCCGTGAGTCCACGCATATAAGGCACAGTATGGGGCACAGATGGTGCATCTGCCAGTTATCTCAGTCAGGCAATCCTTGCCACCTGGGTCTGTCACGTGACCTCCTATTCGGCGAGCCTTCAACACTTCACGTGGCCTCAAAGTGCACCTGGCCTGACACAGGTGCCGTGGGGACGTTACCGTCACTTAGTGGCGAATGGCGGGTATTATATTGTATCCTCGTGTGTCCGTGTGTCGCTGAGACAGCCTCGTGGTTGCGGTCACGGCGTGGCGCTCGTGCCCACAGACGGACGGGGAGCGACTCTACCACGCATTCGCCGCCGCTCTACACGAGATGCAGTGCCTTGCCCTGACGCGTGCGGCACGCCTCTGAGAACCCGCGGTGCGCGTGCGGGTTCACAGGTGTCGCTGTGCAAGGGCGTGCGTGTGTGCAGGGGCGTGCGTATGTGCACGCGCGTAGTGGTAGTGCCAGGGCTGCTCATGTCTCGTACCAGGAGATTCCACGGTGCCACGCGTACGCTGGGGACGTTTGCACGTTCACACAAAATGAATTCTGAGCCACAACATAATATATCTGTCCAGCCATATCGGTGTCAGAATTACACTGTATAACTGATTACACTTAAATGCAAAAAATACAACAATGCACTTAGCACGTGACCATTGAATACCACTACGTAACATGTACATGTTTTATGTTCCTTCTGGCACGAGTTTTTAATTGTAGTGTCCAATTGCTGCCAAGGAGGGTGACTTTCACCAGCATCTATGTTACAATTCAAGATGAGCATTTATGTTTTCTGTAATTTCAGTGATCTCTGGCCATGCAGCTTCTATGATTGTAAGGTCATTTTAAACTGTACTTGTGAAATGACATACACAGAAAATAAAATGCAATCAGGAGACCATTGTGTGTGTTTTTTATCTTAGAAATTATATTCACCAGGTAACTCACGCATCTTAAAAAAGGCACAGGTCCCACTGCTGCCAACGTAGCCTCGAGAGCTGAAACTTTTAAAAGCAGGCAGCCAAGGTGTTGCGGTGTCGGTGCGAGTAGGTGGGGAGCGGTAGGTGGATGGGGCATGTGGGCGTGGTGCTGTGAGGAGCATTATGTGCACGCGCCCATGTGCAGCCGTATTGCTCCCTGGCTGTGCAGCAGGAGGTAGTGGCTGAACTCCTGGGGCATGTCGTGCGCGCCTGGCCGAGGCGGTCTGTCGTCAAAGTAGTGATGTGGCAGAGAGGCCCCGTTGGGCCCTCGTTCGAAGGGCCAGAATCCGTAGAGGTGAACTTGGCTGCACAGGGTGAGGGAGGCGCTCGCAAGCATGAGGCCCGTGGAGAGGCGCTGCGGATGCAGCCCTCTGGCCGCCCAGAGGCGAGCGAGACGCCGCAGGTAGTCGGGGTGGAAGAACACGGCCTTCTGGCGAGCGCCCGCCGCCTCCAAGGCACGGTGCGCCCTCAGGGCCGGCAGCAGGTTGTGCACGTAGGCGAGGGCGGGCACGAGAAGCAGAGCGTCCCCGTAATCCGTGACGTCTGACACGAAGCGGCTCCGGCTCTCGCTGCTGTGGAGCCCCCCGTACCTGCCAGGGCATGGATCCAGCGGGCAGCGGTGTTGGTCGCACCTCACGGAAAGGAGGTCCATGCGTGCTGTATTTTGTTAGGTTGGAGCGTTGTAATTTGCGTACCGAAATGTGTGATGAAAAATCGTCTATCCTATTATTATAGTAGTTACTATGATCAATTCTGGCGGTGCATTATCCGTAAAATGCTATGCGCGGTGTGCTTCACCGACAGTGGACGTTGCAAACGTTGTGACGTCATTCGAGGAAAAAGCCATTGTGTGGCGGAGTTGTGGTTCAAATTTTAATTCGAAAAAATACTCGCAAATTACTTAAATGTGAAACATAGTAATCGTCGCCCCCTTCTGCAAAAAACGTAGCAGGACCCTCCTGAAAAATAGTTGAGACTCGGCGAGGCTTTCCTGGGTAAACAAGCGAATTAACGATTTATAATGTTTTAATAAACTTTGTATTTTACCAGGTAAGGCCCACTGAGCTTATGTAGCTCTTTTTCAGAAGCAACCTGGTCACAAATGGTAGCTCAACGAAATGGCTTGTCACGTGGAAATGTATAGCAGCCAAATACTCTGAACGCATGTTGAGAAATGTGGATGGAAAAACCGGAGAACCTGGAGAAAAATCCACATGACCACGGGGAGAGAGATCATGCAAACTCCAAATATCTAGGCATCGGGGTCGAGATCGAATCCCCGACCTGCTGCATAACTATGTCACTCGGTGCGGAACCCCTACAGTGCTGCATGGATGATGGGGGGCCCACCTTGGCACATGGGCACAGTTTGTGGGTGAGCATTGAGCAGCACATGGATTTTATTGGTGACAAGCCAACCAGTAGGGAATTGAGACTGCAGGCTCATTGTGTAAACCTCAGTTACCGGAGGTTTCTCTTCAATAGCACAGTTGCTGAAGAAAAGGCCCAAAACACTAAGCAGCTCGCAACAAACAGCCTTATTGAAGGTTGAAAATTTCAAATATGATTTCCAAGTCCAATAAGTGTATCGACAATACTCGACTCAAAAAAGTTGGTGATTTTCTGAAGGCAGTGTTGAGCGAATATTCATAGGACAATCACTGGTAACTTCCCCACAAAGTGGTATCGATTTTATCGACCCCAGAGGGATGATCGGACAAAACCCACATTTAGGCGTTGAACCTTGCGATTGCGATCCGCTCGCTCCACCACCGAGCGGCTCGCGTGTGAGTGAGGCCCTGGGGGCAAAGGCCTTGTCGAGACCCGCACGAGGACGGCAACGCGAAGCGGTCCCTGTGGCCCACTCCTGTGCCACACTCACCGCTCCTTGATGATGCTGGGGTTGAGCGTCACCATGTGGCTGCGGTTGCCCACGTCCCGCGTGAAGTTTCCCGACACCGGAGGGAGGTTGCACCTGCGCGGCCACACACACCGCGGGACGGTTGCGACCCGGCCGGTGAAGCGACGCGGCTGCTTCGAGCACGTATCATTACAAAGGGCCGAGGGCGGCTTCGTGTAATTCTCACACCCCCTTCACAGTCGTCTCAAAAGTTCAGCTTCACAACTTACCGACGTTATAATAAAAATCTGTCTTGAAATGTTTTGCATGATTACAGCCTGGCGCAGGTGGCTATGCTGCACTTGGCCTGTGATGCAGCACTGTGGAGCGAGGGGTCACATTTGTGAATTCTCCCTCCCTACTCATGGGCAGTGAAGAAGTACAGCAGCTGGGTTAATTTAGATATTTATAGGGAATAAGTGTTGCCTCTCTCACACGCGTCGGTTTTCTCTGGGTAATCGTTTCCTCCCGCGTGCATAAACACGTGTTGATGGAGTTGGCCAAAACATCTTAATATAGGACCACAGAGCTCGGACAATTGTTGCCAGTGGTCGTGGCTGCCTTCCTTCCCGCTTTTCTGTGGTTTCCAGTGCCGCTGAATCATTTTGAGAGTGACGGAAAACTCCATTCTAACCGAGCTGCACTCCGCTAGAATTCACGGTCTCTCACCTGATTACAAAGTCGGCATTGTCGATGCTCCTACCACACCGGCTCCCCAGCAGCGCCCCACTGTTCCCCACCACGGCACAGCGACCGTGCAACTCGCCGGCCAGAGGAGAGCTCTGGCACACGGTCCAACCCCATGACACGCAGCCCACACACAACACCAACAACAATCGATGCCCCTGCACGTAGCCACCAATATAAATCGTGCAGCCAGCATATGCTACCAACCACACGAACATCACACACCCCAGCAACACCCCACATACATCATCAACCACAAACCAAACCCCATAGACATCGCCAACACCCCACAAACACCACCATCAACTTTAACCCCCACATTCACCAACACTTTGACAACACCACCTAGGGATCTCTCACCCAGCGCACATAATGTGCCAGGAGTAGCGATGCACGGAGACTTGAAACATGCTGCGTCACCTCACACCTGAGGTTGCTAGCTGTCCTGGCCTGACCCATAAAAACTGAGGAGTCTGTGCTCGGGTGGCAAGAACCAATTTGTTCCGAGATCTGCTACCGGAAATTTCTGTGTTCGGAACTGTATTGCAGGACACTGCGCGGTTCTGAGAATGGACCGAGGCCGAGTGTCGTGTGGGTTTGGCGCATGGGGCCGGTGACCCTGAGTGGGCCACACCTCCGGCAGCACGGACAGGAGCTGCGGGGTGACGTGCAGAGTCTTGGCGGCGGCCTCGAACGTGAGTCCCGGGCGCTCCGCCGCGTCTCCCCGCGTGAGCACCAGGCCGGCGCGCGCATCGCAGCACGATCGCAGCATCGCCCTGCGCGCCGCACGGCTCTGTTACTGCCAGAGAACTCAACACGCTCGTCAAAGAAACGTAGCGAATAGGTGATGTTTCAGGCAAGGGCTCTCTTCTTCATAGCACATAATTAATACCAGGGTTATTTATACCGGGTTTTTTTGTGACCGGTAATCGCATGAAAATAATGGAAAAAAACAGTTCCTGGTTTACTGCACGTGTTGCAATGTCTCGCGAGAAGCAGGTTTATTTTTTTAACTGAGAAACGAAGGGAGCTGCTGCCGTGGTGCCATGGTCAGCACACTGACATTTAATCCAGAGCTCGTCTATTCGATTCAATCTCCTGGTGCAGCAGTTAAACCAATGGGGAACATTTCTTAAATTCGCCCTCACCCCTCTGTCCACCCAGCGGTGCGAATGGCTCCAACTTTACCTCCTAACCGAGGAGCAAGGGCGATCGGCGCGTTCGTTAGGAACATCAACTGGAAAGGGTTACCGGTTCCTCACGTTCGGAACCGGTTACCGATGAACAACCCAAGTTAACCCAACACTCAGCATTCGCTGAAGCTGGGCACTGCGGCTATATCCGGGGTAGAACACCCAGTTCCTACCTTGCTGTACTCGGACAGAGCTCAGAGTGAAGCAGCAGTCAGGGTGATAGATCAGGGGTCGGCAACCAAAATAACAAGAAGAGCCATTTCTTTCCAATTCGGTACAAAATTCAGTATTTCAAGAGCCGCAATGCATCTGAGTATATACTGTACATACGTACATATCGTCAAGAAGCAGCCTGTAAAGAGCCGCATGCGGCTCCGGAGCCGTAGGTTGCCGACCCCTGTGATAGATGATCCAGCACTCATTCTATCGCTACTACCATGGTTACTGTTCCCGTGAACTTCACTCGTATAATAATTATCTTACTTTACTCAAGATACATGTTAACTCTTTTTCGATTTAAAGCTTTCGTGACTGCAGGGATTCATCTTCTTGGTTCTTTCGGTAAAGTCACGTAGAAGGGAAGTAATAAAATAATAAAAATAAAACAATAAAATAATTCTCACGACGTTTCGGCTACAACGCAAGCAGCCGTCCTCAGGTGAAGAATGAAACACCACCAAGCTTGGAGCGTATATTTAAGCTGGGTTGGAGGGGGGGGAGGTTGGGAAGAAGAGCGCCTTGACAAAATAATTTGCATATCAAGAGGAATTTAGCATATGGAAATTGCGTAGGAGGTGGGCGGGGGGGTTTCAAATTAATATTATGCCCGTGCATTATGCAGGATTAGCAGCATCAAAGGGAGGGGGAAGGGGGGTAGCATTAACAAAGGAAAGGAATGTTAATAGTATGTAGCTGCAGTTACTAAACAAGCACGTAAAAAACTAAAGTATAAACTACATAAACAACTAAAGTATAAATTACATAGCATCATCAGTATACTTACTATACTCTACAATAAGCTGAGTTACTAACAGTAAGTAATACATTACAATTCTACGTCGTAAAAATTATATAATATGCTTCCATCTAAACTTTATTCTCTTACATCACACGAGTCTACACCGTACTATATACTGCCATAGACAAACCCAACATTAAATTATATACTGTATTGCTATAAACCATTTTAATATAACACTATGTATTATTCTACCCACCCTAATGTGTATCACACTGCTATATGTTTACTATACAATTACGATACTATATATTACTTTGTACATTGTATTAAGCATATAAATGTTATACTATTTGTTATTATACGCTGTACCATTGACCGTCGTGTCAATGGGTGAGTCGTGGGGGGAAAACTTGCAGCGGAGCAAAGAATCCATTCCCTGCGGAGAATTCAATGCCAGTGAGTGGAACGCGGTCTGAAAGTCACCGTAAACGTGAACACAATCAGTTAAGATCCGAAATGGTTTATTACGTCCTTCCAATGATTGCTAAGCCAGAATCCATCTTCTCGGTTGAAATTGTCTCTGTTGTATGGGATCGCCTCATGAACGAATCTCTCATGATAGCCAGATGGCTAGCAGAGAACCTCTGTCTTGGAGAAGTCAATGTAATGTGAGCCCACTGAGTTGTAACAGTGATCTGCCACGGCTGAGGTGTTTGTCCTACCGTGTTTCAGGTCTGCTTTATGTTCACGGATGCGGTCCGAGACATGTCGTTTGATTTCTCCAATGTAACTGCTACCACAGAGGCAACTTAGTTTGTAGACGCCAGGGTACTGTATGTCTGGAACCACATCTTTTACAGACGGGACCAGATCACGGATTTTATGTACTGTGTTGAATCGGACCTGGATCTTGTGTTTAATCAGGATTTTGGAGATCTTTTTTGTGACCCCAGCAATGTAGGGTAAGGTGATGGTCTTGAAAGGCTCCTCAACAGGATCCTTCTTGATGGTTGGAGTAATGGCTTTACGGATTGTGTAGTCGGAGTAACCATTAGCCTTAAGCGCTTGGCGTACGTGTTTGAGTTCACTGGCAATGTGTTCCTGGTCGGAGATGCATTGGGCTCTATGGTATAGAGTCTTGATGAGGGAATTCTTCTGGGATGGATGGTGGTGGGAATCCGGTTTTAGGTAAGCATCCATATGGGTGGCTTTCCTGTAGACAGAGTGGCTCATTGAACCATCAGGTCTCCTTTTGATTAGGACATCCAAAAAGGGTAGCTTGCCATCTTTTTCGACTTCCATGGTGAATCTGATGGCTGGGTGTATGGAATTGATGTGGTCGAGAAATTGGTCTAGAGCAGGCCGGCCATGTGGCCAACATCTTCATGGAGAAATTTGAGACTGACGCCATCCAGACTGCCACTCTACGCCCGACCTTATGGAAGAGGTACGTAGACGACACTTTTGTCATCTGGCCACATGGCCGGCCTGCTTTAGACCACTGTTAGTAACTCAGCTTATTGTAGAGTATAGTAAGTATACTGATGATGCTATGTAATTTATACTTTAGTTGTTTATGTAGTTTATACTTTAGTTTTTTACGTGGTTGTTTAGTAACTGCAGCTACATACTATTAACATTCCTTTCCTTTGTTAATGCTACCCCCCTTCCCCCTCCCTTTGATGCTGCTAATCCTGCATAATGCGCGGGCATAATATTAATTTGAAACCCCCCCCGCCCACCTCCTACGCATTTCCATATGCTAAATTCCTCTTAATATGCAAATTATTTTGTCAAGGCGCTCTTCTTCCCAACCTCCCCCCCTCCAACCCAGCTTAAATATACGCTCCAAGCTTGGTGGTGTTTCATTCTTCACCTGAGGACGGCTGCTTGCGTTGTGGCCGAAACGTCGTGAGAATTATTTTATTATGTTTTATTTTTATTATTTTATTACTTCCCTTCTACGTGACTTTACCGAAAGAACCAAGAAGATGTTAACTCTTATCTATGACGAATTTCTAGTGCTGTTTGTTGCTGGCCGCCTGACGTTTTGGACCTCCTGTGGGCCTGTGATACAAACAAAGGTGGCCCTGATGAGCAGGGGAGGGGTCATCACCTGGGCCAAAGACAAAGATCGCCCGTATAGCATGAACAGACTGTTAGGGCAATCACTCTCAGCGAGTACCTGTGAAGGCTGGCACGGGACACAAGGGGGTGGGTGGCTAGCCCCATGCGCGGCCGCCTTTGTCTCCTCAGTACGGATGTTTACCCACCACTAGCAGTTACTCAATTGAGGTTGAGTCGACCTAGGGGAGGCCCAGGACCAGTTCAGATATTAGTCAATTACGTTGCCCGTGAAGCGGGAATCTAAATCGGATGGCCGAGTCCAGCAGCGCTGCCCTACTAAACTTGACCCCCGCAAACGCAAAGGTGGAACTCCACATGTGCTGTGTGCTCCACGAGCTTAGCGAGGGGTGGAAGAGGGAGGTTGTGGATGGAGAAGAAGCAGGAGAAGAAGACTCGTGTTCAACCTGAGGTCCCGCGCCGCCTCCTCGCTCCACTCCCAGCGGCACTCTCCCAGGAGGCGTGCGGCGGCTGCCAGCTGCTCGGCGCGCTCCCTGCAAGGCCAGGACGAGACGATGGAGAGAGATGTGGTCCCTCTATTCCGTGACCCATGTCTCAGCACATCCACTGCCCTTACATAGAGATCCATTAAACATGAAGAGGAAGATCCCCCGTGTAGCCTTAACAGACTGTTGGGACAAGTGCTGTTAGCGAGCACCCATGAAGGCGGGAATGGCACATGAGGGGGTGGGTGGCCAGCACCACGCCCGGGCCACCTTTGTCTCCCTAGTGGCGATGTTTATACATCACACCAAGTAACCATTTTTAAGACCGAGTCGACCTGGGGGAGGCCCAGGACCGGTTCAGATATCACCGGTGGTGGCGGTGCCAGATTAAGCTAGTGCGGGGCCTGTAGCATATGTTATAAAGGGGCCCTAAATAAATAAATATAGAAATATTAAAACACACATTTTTTTCTTGCATAGTAAAGTCATTGTATTTTTTCATTTGCTATACAGCCAGATAATATGACAAATCGGTAACCTTAAACACCCAGTCGTTCATAAAAGTTGATGGCAGTATAATACTACAGTAATAGAGCAAGTGCAGAATCACTGAACCGGAATTGATAGCTTGAAAGCATTTAGCGCGGGGCCCTTGAAAGTGCGGGGTTCGTAGCATATTTAGCTGCTTTTGCTACTACGATAATCCAGCCGTGAGCAGGCATCAAACCGTGGTCGCCAGGGTTCGTATGGTAGCCACGACACTGCTGCTACCCACAGTACCGCTCCTATATAGAGATCCGTATAGGCCTATTAAGACATCACCATACAAGCGGGTGCCACGGGGAGCAGAGACCCTTGCAGCAGCAGCAGGAGCAGCAGCAGCAGGAGCAGCAGCAGCAGGAGCAG